GTTTTAAACCTTCTGACTGTCTAACCTGAGACTGGTAAGAGGCTCTTTCATACTACGTACTTATATTTACACATCTAGGATGTTTTAGAACAGAGACACTCTCAAAGGAATGGAAACGTGTAGATTACAGAGATTATTGCTCAGCCCTCCTGTTTTTCTGTCCTAACTACCATATCCTCTGTACCTGGCAAACAGAATGACTCAACGTGTTATAAAAAATTGTTTTTACAAAGATTCACTTCTCTGAGCTTTCTCAGCTTTCATTTTAAACACCATTACTGAAAGTTTCTAACCTTGAGGCTTCTGTGCTCAAAAAGCGCCTCCACACCAAGGAAATATGGTTGTTAACCTTGGTCCGGTATTGCTTACAGCTCTTTTACTAATCAAATAAAAATGGGATTTTTGTTTTGAACTGCCTAGCCGTTGCTCATTACTGAGCTGAAAATTACCTACAAATATTTAATGAATAGGCAATAACATTAGGCTTTACCCAACTTTTGGAGCATTCCTCATCTAAATAACTCCTTTGCTATTTTAAAAAGGACCTGCCTATCTGGATTTGTCATGTCAAAGAGGAGGAGAGATGGTTACTGTGACCTACAGAGGTCAGACATGGAGACTCTGGACATTTTTCTCACGTAATAAATCTCAAACTGGTTCATGGACCATGTTTGCTTTTATGAATGATTATATTGTAATTCATCACAGACCATTAAAGTAATCCTTAGCGACAGCGTGTTTTGTTTCAGTTTCAATTTATTTATTTATTTTTGTTCATTTGTTTTTTGTGTCCTGTTTTGCCAATATAGCTCTGGGAATAGATGTCCCAGAGCTAGCTGATAGGCCAACAGCTTTGCTTTTACAAGCAGACCATTATGACTGTTGCTATAAGGTTCCGCTTGATACTTGTATATGAAACTTTATTGAAAAATATTATAAGATCAAATACGAGACAGAAGGGGAAAGGAGAAAGAAAGAGGGCATCAAAACTAAGGGGAGATAGAAAAAGTGCATGAAAAGAGAGGAAATATAACTAAACAGCCAAAATAGACAACACAGAATATATACAGTACAGTAACTCCTAGAAGTCTGCTTCCACACCTGTATGAGATGAGAGGAACAGGAAACAGAAAAGCAAAAAGAAGACTACAGCCAACCAAAGTAAACCTCAAAAAAAGCTTCAAGAGCAGCAGATATCCCTAGATATCCATGTGTGCTGAAGGCAAACCCTATGATGATGATTACACAATATTATTCAGGGTGGTATATATCTCTAGCTAAAGCTAAGTATTTTGTATTAGTGTGTATCCGTGAGAACCTGGAACTAAACTCCTGTGGTATGTATGCATTGGGATGCTCATGTATAAAGGGTATTAAATGTGCTTAATAGCAGGTGTGGGCGGCCCCAGACTCGCCCTACCGAGCACAGGATCAATAAAGAGGCGATCCTGGCCCCACATACCCAGAGGCGAAAGCATGTTAACTTAATGACGTGGTGTGAAAGCATCTGACTGAAAAAGAGTCCATGAACAGGATCTATCTAAGATGTACAGACTGTGGAATGTAATAATCATCTTACACATGTATTATTCCTATTCATTTTTTGAAATAAGAAGCAACAGAATAAAAATGTCATCAAACTGAATAATACTTTATTATCAGGAGCCGCATCTCTTTCTCTTCATCATCTCTCAGGCGTCTCCCATCTCCTGTGTCCCGGTGTATTTCTGTCCTCTGTTTCACCCATTGACCTTCTCTTTCTTTATTACTGGAAAGAAAGGGGTTGTTTTCCCCATGAGATATATAACTATTGTCTTGTGTTTCATGCTTGCTTATTAGACCAGTAGATCTAAATCCAGCCAAGTGGACACAAACTACACTTCTAGAACAAAGGATGAAGACAGAAAGTGTCATGATTTAGCAGGTTTGCTAGCCCAAGATGCAGAACTCAACAGACACTGAGGCAGGATTAAAGTCCAATGTTTATTTGGATCAGCACAGGGTTCTGCCCTGGAAGGCAGAGGAGACAGAGTACAGGTTAAACTCAGGGACAGATAAACAAACTGAAACTCACAGGTTAGCAGACTCAGACAGGCAGGATTAAACAGGCAAGAGGCTCTGGTTTGCTTCCATGGCAAGGACAAGGACAATGACCACGATCCGGCTCAGAGTGAAGCCATCAACCAGCTTATATAGGGAGAGGTTAATCAGCAGAGCTGATTGGAATCAGCTGAGCGCAGAGAACCAGCTCCCAGGAGAGGATCCACAGCGCCCTCTGGTGGGCAAACCTTTGGATCCCAACAGAAACAGAAGCCCACAGGAAGGGATCCACACAGCCCTTTGGAGGGCAAACCTTTGGATCCCAACAGAAAGCTAAATTATAGGCATGCTAATAATTGCAGGACATTCTGTAGGCCTGTTTAATAATTTACTACAGTAGTGGTATCTTTTCTGTTAAATGATGGATAAGTCTACAGCCAATCAAAATAAAACCACACCTCACGTTACCTCTGTAACAACCCCACACTAGCTGAGCTCTCAGACTATACATAGCAAGTCACATTGTCATGTGAGCAGCTCCCTCACAGTTCTGCCTGACACATTTATCGCTTACATAAGACCAGGACAATATTAGGCTGGTGTCATTTAAACAATCACATTTTCCCACTTAGTTACACCTGGGCTGCGTCATTTGATTCTACTTATTATGTGTTCAGACTGTTTCAGATCATGTGCAAGATCCAAACAGTCCTTACCTTACAGACTTTTAGATACACTCTGATGTTTATTCCCATCCAGGAGTTGGTTCATTAAGATGTAGAGCGCGGTGGACATTCCTGAACCTGACCTTGTTGGAAACAAGATGTTTTCATAAGGTTTGTGTACTGGGAAACTGGGCTACCTGATGGCTCTACAATGGCCAGATTATTTGCTAAAGGAATTATGGGTGTTGTTCTTGTATTGAATATGCATAGACTCTAATTAGCACCCCTTTAGACTAACTGTATGAGTAAACCCAAGTGGGTCATTCACTTGGAAACAATATAGATCAGCTAGTCAATCCTGTGCGCTATCAATTCTCAGCTGCTTTATAACCCTCGTAGGCCTCACACCAACGACAGAAGGGAAATATTGTAGCTCCTGCTGAGTGTGCTACAGCTGGACCCCTGTTTGATTGTTAATAAACCGCCCTTAAGCAAACAGCTGACATTATAAAGCCTTTTCTTCTGCTTGTATGTGAATGTACTGTATGGTCATGTTGGTCTGGAGCAGAGATGGGAAGTAACGAAGTACAAATACTTCCTTACTGTACTCAAGTAGATTTTTCTGATATTTTTACTTTACTTTACTACTTATTTTTATGGCGACTTTTTACTTCTACTCCTTACATTTTTACACACATATCTGTACTTTCTACTCCTTACATTTTTAAAAATTGGCTCGTTACTTTAGTTTTGAATCATTTCAATGGAGTTACCGTTATCATTTTTCACGTCATCAATACTGTGAAAACGGAGCCGTTTCCCCCTTCTGTTCCCAAAGTCTAGCCGCTGTCTATCACACACAGCGTCACATCCTTCACTACATTTCCCAGCATGCACCACAGACCGACCGTCATGGCGGCGGCAGTTCCAAACAATTCACCCGGAAATTTACACTAGTTCCGAAATTACAACGTCACCTTTACTTACTCACCAGCGTAGCAAACTCTGAAGGTACCCACTGCGACAGCTTTAATATTCCCAGTCAAATTACACATTCTCTTCCCTTAGTCCGTCAGCATTCTGGTCCGTGTGGAAACACGTACCGCATCGGAGCCAGTCTCTTATCCATTGTCCCAGGGCATTGGAAAAGACTATTAGGGGGCAGGGGTGTTAAGTGGGATTTCAATGTATGTAATAATTGTTTGCATGGGAATAACTAGGTGAAATGGCAATGTTAGTATGGTTAAATTATTTCATAAATATGTATGTTTTTGTATGAAAGATGCTATTGTCTGTATTTATTTTTCTACAATGTTAACTGTGCTTTATTGGCGATTTGCCTTCCTGTTTAGTTGGGCTGTCCCAATTGGCTGATTATTGGTGGGTCTATTTAAGGGGCATACTCACAATGGCTTAGGGGGGCTGCTTGGAGAGACTGGCTGGAGAAACTGCTTTTGAAGGTTTGCTTAGAGAGACTATATTTAAAGTCAGCTTGCTGTGAGGCTGTCAGTGTTTTGTATTGCCTGCAATGGCCGGTTTTGTTTTCTTTATTTGAAAGTATTTTTTTTTTTTTTTTTTTGTCTTCACCGTTGCACCAGTAAATAAACCGCTACACGCTTTTGAACTGGAATTTTGTTGTCCGCTGGTTCTTACCACCTTTTTGCAAGTCATATGCTTACTCCTCCTCTGACGTGAGATGGGAGCTGGCGAGCCGTTTTCTCACAAATACCAAATTCAATCTAATTGGATGGGAATCTACGTTGCATTTGACGCACCACTACAAGATGAATCGATAGATTCGGCGGTATTCATTCGCGGCAAATCATTGCAGCTTGGTGGTGGTGGCGTTAGCATAGTAGTATGGATGACGAGATGATTGAAAATGAACACAACGGAGATCTAGTCCTATTGGCAGACATCCATTTAAAATGTAGGCAACGCCATGAAAAAAGTGGTTTCTACTTTTACTTTTATACTTTAAGTAAATTTACAAGCCTGTACTTTGTTACTTTTACTTGAGTAAAGAAGTTTAATCAGTACTTCCACTTTTACCAGGGTATTTTTTAACACAAGTATCTGTACTTATACTGAAGTACGGAAAGTGAGTACTTTTGCCATCTCTGGTCTGGTGTTTCACTGCGGATTGTGTTCACACACATCCCTGAGACATGTTGTAATTAAGCAAGAGGGGGGTTCATCTGGGTCAGGTGGCGAGTCGATCAAAGAGCAAAGTAGAGTTTACTGATCCTATGTTTCTGGATTAACCTTTTCTTTTTGCCTTTATTTGTGTTTCAGGGTTGTGAGCAGCCATGACGAAGTCGTATGAGTTCAACTGGCAGAAGCACCTGCCTGAGTTCATGCAAGAAGGCGCTTCCTTCGACAGGTTTGATGAGGTAAACTGCCCCTCTGCTATCAGGGGAAACTGTTTAATAAAATGAAACTTATTTATTGTGATGTGATAAATTGTTTAGTCTGTGTCACATTATTAGAGTTTAATTATTTATAATTCAGGGTTTTAAGTTTCCTCATCATGCGTTGATACCCCACCCCACTGAACTTTGTGACATTACAATAGATTTAAAATTACTCCATTTTGCCTCAAATTTGATGAACCTAATGAGGACACTTAGGTAGGACATTAACAGGCAAGGCAAAGTGTGTCACCCAGATGCATCAAAGACGTGTGTATAGCCCTGTGTGCACCAGGGAATCCCCTCAGTACTCTCTATCCACACAGCTGTCAGAGAGGTGAGGAGGATCCCTCTTAGAGTACAGTGGAAATCATCAAAGAGGGCACGGAGAGCAATGATCGAATCCAGTCATGTCAAGGAGAGCAATTAAAATTGGGCCGCCATGCTTTTGATGAAAGTCCTCAATGTGCCGCTGCTGTGAACTTTGAGCCAAGCAGAGGCAGAGCATGGTGAGAGCTGGCCTAAATGTTAATAAGGACGACTTTCCATCTTACCTCCTCTTTTTTTACTTTGGGACTAATTATGATCTAAAGTATAAATATTTATATCTATAGACTGCTATTTGGATATTTGAACTTTGTAAAGCCTGCTTTGTACCTTTGACATTCCCAGCTAAAACCTGTCTGAGAGAGATTTGGAGGTAGATAACACGCACAGGTTTAAGTGCCTTGTTAAAATGAAGGAAAACATTTAGACATAAATAAAGTTATATTACTGTCATAAAGTTTCTGTCTACCCGAACATTACATGTTCTGAAGTACAATGGGAAGGTTTAAAATGGGTTATAGATCTGCAATAATTTCAATACATTGTCCATATGATAGACTTATTTTTTTTCTTCCTGACAAACCACAGCAATGGGAAGGGAAGGTTAAAGGGATGCAGTGTAAAAATGATCCTGCAAGGAGCCAATGGGCTTCTTGCTCTGTGGATTTCTTTCATCATCTCCCTCATAGGAAATCAATCAGTCAAGATGTGACTGGTGTTTGGTTTCTAAAGGACCCCACAGAATCAAATTGGCAGCTTCTGACGGCAGAGTGTTTCGGGTCAGAACTGCAGAACACTAAAAAGCTTATAAACATGGCTTTTACCAACATGTTATTTACCAGAGTAGAAGCAAATGTTACTCACAGGGTGACACTCTTCTCAATGGTGTTGACCTCAGGCTTTTCAACTACATTGTGCTTTGTGCATTTAGAGGAATACCTTGAAGGTTTGACATTTGTTCGCATCAAAATGCAAACCTCAGTGCATTATATTTGGGTTTTATGCATTGGTTCAGTGCAAAGCGTTGTATATTGGTGTAAGGTAAAAAAAAAACACTTAATTTACACCAATATACAAATCTATGTACTTTGAACATTCATCCATCCATCCATCCATCCATCATCTGACACGCTTCTCCCAATTGGGGTCGCAAGGGGTGCTGGTGCCTATCTCCAGCTGTCAATGGGCGAGAGGCGGAGTACACCCTGGACAGGTCGCCATTCCATCGCAGGTACTTTAAACATTGTAGACTTTATATACTTAATATGAAATTCAAATGTCAATATGAACTCAGCCACCGATCATCAATGTCTCTAAATTAATCCTATCAATAAGTAAGCAAAGTCCACCTTTGTATAATCTTAGTTATGTCTGGGTGATATAGCCAAAAATTGCATCACAATTTATGTCTTCATTTTTATGGATGTGATATGAGTAATATAAAGCCCACACAGGATACCTGTACAACCCTCTCAGCATTATTGTGTTGATTCTATGGAATTCCTGAAGCTGAAACCTGACTCAACCCCCTCTGAAACTCAGGTTTCAGCTCTCAGAAATCCAGCACGATCGAGCGATAGAGTTGATTCCTTCCCGCTATCATAATCCTCATCGCCATGCAGGGGACCAAGACATCCTGTCTCGCCTGGTCAGCAAGGCCAACAATGCCCCTAACGACTCATCTTTCAGAGGCATAGACGAGTATTGGGTATTGCAGGCTAACAAAGATCTCTACAACTCCCCATTTAAGGGGTTCAGGTTCAATTTGCATGTTTTTGTAGCCAAAACAAGGCTTTGTTGTGCTACTCTATAAAGCTTCCTGGAGTGGAAGCGAAACATCGTCAAACTTAGAAAACGAAGTCCAGTGGTTTGTCTTTTAACTTTTTTGGAATGACTATGACCTGGATGACTGAGAATCTTCACAAACTAAGAGAACATCGTGGTGAACGGACATCATCACAGAGACGAAAGGAACACAGCATACAACGTTAAGACAGATTGTAAAACCACATCTAAAGCTTTGAACCCCTTAAAGGACTGTTCATTGTCTCAAAACGGAAAGACGGTGGCAGAGCTGCAAACCTACCAAGACAAGGCTATCCATCTATACTGAGAATCTGAGGAAGAAGTTTGAGAAGAGAAGAGGCTCTAGAAAAACACACCTTTATAATAGTAAGTTGGTGGCAGCTTCATGGTGTGCAGACGTTTTCCTGTAGCAGGGATGGGGAACCTAGTCAGAACTGATGTGAGAATGGGGAGAGCTAAATACAGGATGAATCTATCAAGTGTGAACTCAGGGGAACTAAATACAAATGTATGTAAGACTTTTTATATTTTTCTTAAAAAGCAGTGAGACTTTTCCCTCCATCTCATCATTATTCACTACTTTGTGCCAATCTGTTTCATGCAATCATTTCTACATCCACTGATGTTTGTTTTCAAGGAGATTTATAAAGGGAATGATTATTTCTCCAAGGCACTGGAGTAAGTTATAATGTTTGTCTGATGTTTTATTTTGAATGTATGTAGTTTAATGTAAGCATACATACATTGATATGGCATGATGAATGGGAAGGACAAATGTCCAGGTCAAGCCAGAATCCGTCCAATGAAAGTTAGGCCCTTTATATTCGATTTCTTTACCATTATATACCCCCCCCCCCCCCCCCCCCCCACCCTGACTACTTTGTAAAATGAAGTCCCTGTCAGCCTGAATTTATATAAAAGAGAGTGAAAGCTTTTAGCTGCTCTCTCAGAGGCCTCGCTGTTTCTTAGATAGAAAATGGATTTTCTTCATTTTCTACTGGTTTTAGATTACAGGCCTTAGCCCAACATTTTCCTATTTGTGGCTGTGTCTCTAATGGCAGAATCCCACAAAGATGCATTAGGTAGATGTGCATGTGTCTGACTCAGAGTGTGTAATATTGTTCTCAATTTCTAATATTAGAATAAGAGCGACCCCTCAGCATCAACCCCTTTCCATTCTCTTCCCTTTTAAATGTTTTGGCCATCTCAGTGTTTAATACTCTGTCTGCCCAGTCAAAGTTATTTAGTTGGTATTCAAGTTCAATTGGTTTATTACTAATAACATCTGGACAGACCTTGTTGACCATTGTGTAGATGTGCATAGTCCGGTTTTACTTCCTTTATGTAAAGCTGAGCACTATCCTTATAACAGGTGGTTACATTCACATACCTCTCTTACTTTATAATAGATTTAATTCAGATTACAATATACAGGTGCTGGTCATAAAATTAGAATATCATGAAAAAGTAGATTGATTTCAGTAATTCCATTTAAAAAGTGAAACTTGTATATTATATTCATACATTACATACAAACTCATATATTTCAGATGTTTATTTTGTTTAATTTTGATGATTACAAATGACAACAAATGAAAATCTCAAATTCATCATATCAGAAAATTAGAATATTGTGAAAAGGTTCAAAATTGATGGCCCCTGGTGCCACACTCTAATCAGCTAATTAACTCAAACCACCTGCAAAAGCCTTTAAATGGTCTTTCAGTCTAGTTCTATAGGCTACACAATCATGGGGAAGACTGCTGACTTGACAGTTGTCCAAAAGACGACCATCGACACCTTGCACAAGGAGGGCAAGACACAAAAGGTCATCGCTAAAGAGGCTGGCTGTTCACAGAGCTCAGTGTCCAAGCACATTAATAGAGAGGCGAAGGGAAGGAAAAGATGGGGTCGAAAAAAGTGTACAAGCAAGAGAGATAACCGCACCCTGGAGAGGATTGTGAAACAAAACCCATTCAAAAATGTGGGGGAGATTCACAAAGAGTGGACTGCAGCTGGAGTGAGTGCTTCAAGAACCACCACACACAGACGTATGAAAGACATGGGTTTCTGCTGTCGCATTCCTTGTGTCAAGCCACTCTTGAACCACAGACAGCGTCAGAAGGGTCTTGCCTGGGCTAAAGAGAAACAAGACTGGACTGCTGGTGAGTGGTCCAAAGTCATGTTCTCTGATGAAAGTAAATTTTGCATTTCCTTTGGAAATCAAGGTCCCAGAGTCTGGAGGAAAAGAAGAGAGGCACTTCATCCACGTTGCTTGAAGTCCAGTGTAAAGTTTCCACAGTCAGTGATGGTTTGGGGTGCCATGTCATCTGCTGGTGTTGGTCCATTGTGTTTTCTGAGGTCCAGGGTCAACGCAGCCACATACCAGGAAGTTTTAGAGCACTTCATGCTTCCTGCAGCTGACCAACTTTTTGGAGATGCAGATTTCATTTTCCAACAGGACTTGGCACCTGCACACAGTGCCAAAGCTACCAGTACCTGGTTGAAGGACCATGGTATCCCTGTTCTTAATTGGCCAGCAAACTCTCCTGACCTTAACCCCATAGAAAATCTATGGGGTATTGTGAAGAAGAAGATGCAATACACCAGACCCAACAATTCAGAAGAGCTAAAAGCCACTATTAGAGCAACCTGGGCTATCATAACACCTGAGCAGTGCCACAGACTGATCGACTCCATGCCACGCCGCATTGCTGCAGTAATACAGGCCAAAGGAGGCCCAACTAAATACTGAGTGCTGTACATGCTCATACTTTTCATGTTCATACTTTTCAGTTGGCCAACATTTCTATAAATCCTTTGTTTTTATTGGTCTTCAGTAATATTCTAATTTTCTGATATGATGAATTTGAGATTTTCATTTGTTGTCATTTGTAATCATCAAAATTAAACAAAATAAACATCTGAAATATATGAGTTTGTATGTAATGTATGAATATAATATACAAGTTTCACTTTTTAAATGGAATTACTGAAATCAATCTACTTTTTCATGATATTCTAATTTTATGACCAGCACCTCTATGTGTGCATATGGTTGTAGTGCATTACTTTGGGATTGTAGCTTTCCACCCATGCGTGTAAGACTCTCAGCAGGTTGAATTGTTTCATAGTGCGTATTAAAACTCCATCCACTCGTCTGATTGCATAATCCCTGCAGGTTGTATAATGTGAGGCTGCATGAATGAAACACTTTGATCAATGAAGTCTGTCTGATAAAGATGCAATTCTCATTTTCAGGACCCATACATCTTTGAGCCCAACTGTCAGATGAAAGTGGACGAATATGGCTTCTTTATTACATGGAAGAGTGAGGGAAAGGTACGGTCTCACTCTAATCCGTCTTTCAACTATGATCGTTTATGTCAGGGAGTTCGCAGAGGCTCAGTCCTCTTTTATAATCTTGTTATATTATTTTTAAAGGGATGATCCACCTTCCTTAAAAACATTATGACAAACTTGGAAAAGCCAGTGTAGTGCAAAAAGTTAAGACTTCTACTAGTGAGATCAGTTTTACATGTTACAATATACAGCTTTAGGCAAAAAAAAAACAAAAAAACTAACCATACATTCTTATATTTACTACAAACATTTACTTCCAAATCTTACGCAGTCCTCTATATTCAGTGACGAACAAACATTCTTTTATAATCAAAAGGTAAATTTTCTGCTTGTTATTATCTGAAAGATTTTTCTGTTGTAGAAAAAGTGGCCTTGTATTTTTCATTGTGGCTGGTGAACATAAAAAATAGAAAGCAGCCTACACTACTTTGGGTGTTGTTTTCTAAACAATGGTTTGTCCCTCAGTCTGGAAAAATAATTAAAAACAACATGTATTTATTTTAGATTCATATAACAACAGTGTGATGCTTATAGGTTGGGTTTCTTGATTTTTATCTATTAATCATGTCTTTTAACTATTCGGTATTAAATGTATTCTTCCATCCTCCTACCAAACATTTCTCCCACAGGAGGGCCAGGTTCTTGAGTGTTCTCTTATCAACAGTATCCGTGTCGGTGCAGTCCCCAAGGTGAGACCTTTTTTGGAAAGACAATCTTCTCACTTCTGCTTTCACTAGAATTTACACTCTCATCCCACAACACAGGCTTGTGTTCTCGCTCTGACACTCCTGGTCTGAAAAACAAATCTGGAGAGACTGCTTTATCAGGAACATTATTCCTGCATAAAATTAGCCAAAGCTTCAGTGGCGTATATTTGTACCGTGTAACAGTTGACCTTAGATTCCCTATTGACTTTAACTTACAAAGAGCAGTAAAACAACATGAGCAGCAAATATTTAACACCTCAATATTTACACAACCTTGGTTGAGTTCAACCACAGGATACATTTGATGGTGTTTTTTTTGGTGTTTTTTCAACTTGCAGAAAGAGAGAAAAAAAAAGGATTGTGCCGGTGAAATAATAAGCTGTTTGAGAAGCTTTGGGTTAAGGAGTTCACTAGGCAGAATCAACAGCTCAAAAGGATGTTCTGTCTCTGCCAGAGAAGAACAAGAAAACATCCTTAGCCTGTAATATGGAGGTGATCCTGAAATAGCAGGCGACTGACCAGGAGGTTATTTTTTCACTGCATCTGGCAACCAATAAGAGACTCAGACACACAAACAAACCTTAGGGTCTCCCTGTATAGTAAACATTGATTCATTTGCTGCAATATTGACACCGACTCATTATAATGTATTATTTGACTCAATGCCAACTGTATGAATAATTGAAGCTGTTATTAGAATCCCCGTGGGTAGAGTAGAGGTAAGGTTCTAGATCTAGCTCTATTTACAAATACATCAAGCAGCTGAAAGTCTGCAAAAGGACGGGGTAGAAGTGCTCTACACGTGACAAATAATGTGTTGTTTTTCTCATGTTGACCTGTTTGTTTGGGCCACCGCTAATGTGCGTGTTTGAGGACACGTATACAGACGCTGCGGCTTGATAGCAGCTCCCCGTGTTTGTTCAACCACGGCACACTGTTTTTGTAAGTGGCAGGAAGGCAATAGCAGGGCTTCTCCACAAAGGATTACACAGCTGTTCCAAATAATTCAATGAGGAGGAGAAGATGGATGAGATAGCCGAGATAGATTCTAAAAGCTGCAACGCCTGTTGCTGTTAACTCAATCATACAAGTACACATTTGTTCCTCCTGCGGTGATGAAGCTGATGTCTGATTAAAACCATGAGAGGGAGACGTGACGCTGGGATTTTTCTCCTCTTTCTTGTATAGATTTTCACTCCACTGGTTAGACATGCAGCATCACTCAGCAGTTTATATACTCTCCTCATTTAGCAGTTTAAATAGATGTGAGCTGTTTAGTTTATCAGAATTTGATTATCAAAAGACGTACAGAAAATATTTTTAAACAGAATTGACTGCCAAGGTTTGAATTTAATGCAGATTTTCCTCTGATTTACTCAGATTAAAGACACAGCTGCTCCAAGCATGTTCCTTTGCTTGGTGCAGAGACACCACATGCCATCCTATATATCTCCAGCCGGATAATATTATTTTCAGGAAATATCTCTAAAACTTGCAAAGTGTTGAAGTTAGGATCATTACAGAAACTGGATCGTATCCCTTCCAAAAACAGTTTGGTTTTTAGGAATCATTGCCCTGATAGAAATAGAAATTTGAGGCTCCTCCCATTTTTCACTCATTCATCTGCTACAGTGCATCATCACTGCTGCCACAAAAACAGCAGCTCATCATGAAGCTACCAACACCATGTTCTAAGGTGTTTAAACAGATCTTAAATTAAATCCTCACATTGATGCCTCCTAACATACTTTTTATATAACGACTGAAGCTTGGCTGTTCCTTAGATTTTTCCTTCTTGCCAAATTGATTTCATCACCACTTGTTAAAGCTTGAATATAGCTCAGTTTTTCTACAGAAAAATATTTAAAATACATGAAAACTGACTTGGGAAGGCATCGTTTGGACGAACATCATAACTATGAAATGACCCTGATGAAAATAAACGGATCGTATGTTAGAGCCAAATCTGTGCCAGGAAATCAGTTCCCCATCAGATTACTGGCCCAACGTTCAGACAGGATTATTACAGAAACTTTATGAATGTAACAGGAAGTCTCAATATTTATCTAAACAATAGCTAAAGTTAACGTATATAGTTAAGTCTTGGGCATTTTTCAAAACTATCAAACTTAAATTCTTAACTATTGTATTTAGTGCAACCATCAACTCCAATCCGGGAAGAGAATATGTCAAAGTTGTCGTTAAAAGGCCACAATTAATATAAAATTCATGCTTAATATGATGAGGGTATGTGAACCTTTGAGCAGCACCTAAATAATGTAACGCAGAGAAGAAGCTATTATTAAGAATAAACACCTATTAAAGGCGTGTGAGAGCGTGCACGAGCTCATTTCTCCTCGTGCACACTCTGTTTAAAAGTTGCTTTTTGTATCACTCATTCAAGCTTACTTTCCAAAAGAAGATTTGCGATTTTTCCACTATGTCAGACTCACCACCAGTAAGTGAAACTGGGGACTATCATGTGGGACGGCCTTACGTTAATATATCACCAGAATGATCGACAGTTAGGAGGACCACTTATTTTGATGAACATCCTCCATCTTATTTTAACCTCCTTTAATCTTATTTTCGTGTAATCACCTGCTTTCAGTTTAATGATGCCTCCTTATTTTTCAGGACCCAAAGATCTTGTCCTCATTCGAGGCCATTGGAAAGACAGAGGCAGACTTGGAGGGATGCATCATCTGTATTTGCAGTGGCACTGACCTGGTGAACCTCAGCTTCATGTTCATGGTGGCAGAGAGCCCCGACACAGCCAGGGTGAATATAGTCATGCACCTCTGCAGTTCTCATTGCCATTAAGACCTGTGTGTTTGCAACCCAACTACTCTGCATTATTTGACACTTTTGTTTCATCTTGCAAAAAATTAGAGGTCTATAATCACGAAACATATTGCAAAAACAAAAAATACAAAACATCCTAAAGGCTTTTTAGTAGCTGGAGTGAAGTCAAAATTAATTCAATAATATACTGCATATAAAGGCTAGAATACCGCCCACACAGAGTAACTGTTTGATTAAGAATGAAAGGAAAGAAAAAGCAGAATGAAGTACATGCCCTCTCCTACACACAGCCTTGAGTCAGTCTGGTAAATAGAAGCATATGAATGTCTCTGTGTTTCTGTAGAGACAATGCTGCTTTACTGCTTCTACTGTAGTTACTGTGCCTTTTTAATCTTCATGTAAGCGCAAGAAAACTTTGAAACGGCAACATGAGCTTCAGTCAGGTGCCATATTTGTATTTTGAGTTTTTAATCTGCTTCTTTCCTTTTATTTTTTTAAACCAGTTTATTTAGTATTATTATTATAGCATAGCATTATATTATTTGATTTTGGCGCGTAAGAAAAAATAAATAAAAGAGCAAATATTTTAGAAGGGATTAACTGATTAGGCTGGTGTTGTTCTTTTGTGGTCTGGTATGATAAAATCTAAATTCGACTGGTTCTGATGTTTGTTTTCTATGGGCTGCAACTGAGGAAAAAGGTCAATGTGCTGCAGGTTACTTCATAGACAAAGTGGTTTTAAATCTACCACAAAAAACAGATGCGCTAAAGCATAATCTGAACTTTGGTCGACTCTCTTAAACACCATGTATTTGTGCAGGAAATCTTATCTATATTTAATATCAGCATCATATATATATGTATATATATGTGTATATATATATATATAAAATTATATATCTATATAGTGCTTCATTAAATTAGTAATATCATGATAAAAAGTAGATTTTATTTATAATATCATTTAAAAGTGAAACTTATTATATATATATTATAATTACATACAACAGATGCTCCTATATTTTATTTCAGATGTTTTTTTTTTAAATTGGATTGAGGGTTGGTCTAAACACAACAAAGGAAAATCTGCAATGACATGCCTATCAGAAAAATATAGTTTATTGTGAAAAAAACAGGAAAAATAAGCCACCTGTTGCCACATCTATAGTAATATGAACCCAACCCACCTGCAAAGGGCTTTTAAACTTGTCTTTGATCTTAGTTTATTCCTATAGTGCCCACCAAGTCAATGGAAGATTCTTAGAGGGTGAATGCATTTGTACTCAGAAAAGTTTCATAATACCGCAACAATCAGACAAATTCATTACACACATTAGGCCAAGAACAGATTAAAGACCAACCTAAAAAACTTTGGGTTTTGTTCTGTTTCCACAGAATTTTTCTCAGCTTGTAACAAGCTCAACAAAAAAGTGCCTGAGAAAAAAGTCTTTTTGTGGTCAGATAAAATAGGTTTCAGACATGAGACGGATAATGCAACCTGGAGAAAGCATTGTGAATACGAAAACCTCTTCAAAAATCATGGGGGAGAACAAGAGGGACTGCCGTCATTTGTAATGCAAATTCAAAAAAAAATACTCTCATCAGAAAAGTTCTTAAAACAAAGGGTTTGCTGCTTCAGCGATGCTTGTTGTAAGCCTACCTGACACCACTATGAACATACCATCAGACTATCGACTTTTAAACAGAAACTGGACTTGTACTGTTTCTGTGAAGTTGGTCCTATAAGGTTTCAATATCTCTTCTTTTTTAATGTTATACATTTTATTTTTCCTTTGGAACTGTCAATGAATTCCCCAAATTGGAATGAAAAAAGATGGTCTTCGTCCAAGTTGCTTGAAGGTCAAGTGAAAAGATTCCCAAATGTTGTGATTGGTTTTCAGGATGCCATGTCATCTGTGGTGTCTGTCCATTGTGTTTTCTGAGTCAGGTCATACGCAGCCACATCAGGAAGTTTATAGAGCACTTCATGTCTCTGCAGCTGACCAACTTTTTGGAGATGCAGATTTCATTTTCCAACAGGACTTGGCACCTGCACACAGTGCCAAAGCTACCAGTACCTGGTTGAAGGACCATGGTATATCCCTGTTCTTAATTGGCCAGCAAACTCTCCTGACCTTAACCCCATAGAAAATCTATGGGGTATTGTGAAGAAGAAGATGCAATACACCAGACCCCAACAACTTCAGAAGAGCTAAAAAGCCACTATTAGAGCAACCTGGGCTATCATAACACCTGAGCAGTGCCACAGACTGATCGACTCCATGCCACGCCGCATTGCTGCAGTAATACAGGCCAAAGGAGGCCCAACTAAATACTGAGTGCTGTACATGCTCATACTTTTCTTGTTCATACTTTTCAGTTGGCCAACATTTCTATAAATCCTTTCTTTTTATTGGTCTTCAGTAATATTCTAATTTTCTGATATGATGAATTTGAGATTTTCATTTGTTGTCATTTGTAATCATCAAAATTAAACAAAATAAACATCTGAAATATATGAGTTTGTATGTAATGTATGAATATAATATACAAGTTTCACTTTTTAAATGGAATTACTGAAATCAATCTACTTTTTCATGATATTCTAATTTTATGACCAGCACCTGTATATATCTATATATATACATACATGTATATGTATATATATATATATATATATATATATATATATATATATATATATATATATATATATATATATATATATATATACACGGGAGCATGATGCTCCCGTGTACTATTTTATATATTTCAGCTTGTTTTTTTTTGCAGAAATGGATTGAGGGGTTGCGGTCGGTGATCCACAACTTTAAGGCCAACAACGTGTGTCCAATGACATGCCTCAAGAAACAGTAAGTATAGTTTTGCTGTTTCTTCAGCCTAAAAACACAGAGAAAACAAAGCAAACTCTTTGACCCACAGTCTTATAGAATATGACCCACCTGCGAGGTCTGCGTGCAGTGTCTTTCTAACCTTGTCTTTGATTTTCTGTGTTTTTAATTTGCTTCTTTAGTTGGATGAGGATGTGTTTCCTGACCAACGTAAATGGAAAGATTCCTGTTAGAGGGTAAGAATGCATTTTGTACTTTTCAGAAAATGTTTTATAATACCTTGCAAATCTTTAATCTCAAGTTTATTTATTTTTTCATTCATATTATTTTTTTTTATATCTTATTTTTTACATTCACATTACTGCCTTGAAGCTTAATTTTTTTTTTCTTAGATTTTTGTTTTATTATAGACCAACACATAAACCAACACTTTGTGTTGTGTTACCATGTGTTGCACAAAGTGCAGTAACACTTTGTGTTGCTGCAGCTTTGGTGAAACAAGCTCAACAAAAAATGTGCCTTCTGAGAAAACTAGTCTTTTTCAGTCGGTTTAATTATCATGGGTAGATTTAATCAGGCTTTCATTGGGAATCTCCTGTGTTATCTGTTGGTATAATTGTCTAACATTGGAAGATAAAAACAGTGTTGAATGACGTTTTTAAAATCTGTTCTAAAATCATTGGAGTGAACCAGAGGGACCTGCCTTCATTTTGTAATGAACAAATTGCAAAAAAAAAAAAAGTGATCTTCTCTTCATCAGAAAATGTTCTTAAAAATAATGGATCTTTGTTGCCTTCAGGATGCTGCTATGTAATGCCTCGCCGTAAAACAAACCACTATGCAAATTTTTTATACCATCAGCTATTCGACTTTTAAATTCTTTAAAGATAACTGTGTTACCTTTTTACTGTCTTTCTGTGTTTTTATTTTATTAATGTTGGTCCTTAAGCTTCCTGTTTCAACTATCTCATTTCTTCTTTTAATGTTATTACATGTTTATTTTTGTTCGTTTTTCTCGTGTACTGCTCAAATGAATTACCCCCAGTGGAATGAATAAACTGGTCTTAGTCTAAGTATTGCAAAGTGTTAAAGTTGAGCAAAAGAGATTCAACTGTTGTGATTGTTTTTCAAAAGAAATGTCCAAAACTTTGTGCGCATATATGTGCATACATTTCCAATTTAGTTGTACTATCTGAGCAGAATATCCTCTTCCCCGTGTCTGGCCAAACAGAAATTTTATTCTATACTTTTATTTTACTTCAATAAAACGTCTAACTCTATATCTCCTGTCAAATGATTCCACAGCTACACTTTACTAATGACTAATCTCTGTTCTCCTACATTTTTGTTTTCTTATCTTCTTTTTAGCATTACGAGAACATTTGCATCAGGGAAGACCGAGAAGGGGATCTTTCAGGCTCTGAAGGATCTAGGTCTTCCCAGTGGAAAGGTAACAGTTAGAGTCAGATGCTTTAGATTTAATCACTTGTTGCACAATGATTCTCAAAGTTGAAAGGGGATTCTGTATATCGCTGCAGAATGATGAGATTGAACCCACAGACTTCACCTTTGACATTTTCTACGCACTGACCCAGAAGATCTGCCCTCGCACAGATATAGAGGAGCTCTTCAAGAAAATGTAAGCTCTTTTATTTCACACCAGTGTGCATGCTGCTTTGTGTATCTGCTTTAGTCATTGGTTTTGAACACAATAAAGAATATAGCCAATCAGAAGAAGACCTGTTGTTAACTTTTTTAAACAATATGATCTGTAAAATAAAAAAAAAACTGTTAGAATGGATTGGATCCAATTGGTTTAAATGTTTCTGCTCCTGCTACACTAACTACGCCTGGACAGCCTAACCTGCTTTCAGTTTGGCATAATTTCTATTAGGATCAACCTAATGAAAACAGTCAGACAAAAAAAAAAAAAAAAATAGAAAACTGTTTAACAGACCAAAAGTGGAAGACTTTCTCATTTTAACCGACTGTGTGAATGAGTGTGTGGATGTCCGTTTTTAAAGAATTATAACAATATCTTTCTCTTTTCCAATAATTCCTTTGCAGCAATGGAAACAAAACAGATTATTTAACTGTAGACCAGTTAGTCAGCTTTCTGAATGAAGTAAGCTGTTTATCATTCATTAACTTCTCTGTGTATTTGGCTTCAGCCAGCCCCTCTCTGCAGCCCCCCTCCCTTCTCCACCCTTCCTGCTGTGGGTAGAAGTTGCCTTTCACCCTGTCGCCCATCGTTAGAACCAAATTAAGCGAAATTCGGTTAGCCTGGAAGGGCAACTTCCACCAGCTACAATACTCTGCATGCACTCCTCTCATCCCGTCCCCCCCTTTTCTCCCCTAGCAAGATTTGCCTCCCATTGTCTGATTGGTGTTGTCATGACAACAGGAGGAGAGAGGTTTCCATCCTGTTGCGTCCGGCTTGGTTCATCTCGTTTCCTGCTGTGCGTCTCCTGTGCTTGGCTGAATACCTGCTCATTGCATCTGCTGTCCAGTCCCTTCTGTGCTGCTTCATGCTCTGGACTCAGCTGGATTAATTCCCACTTTGGCTATAAGAATGCTCTCTGCACTGTAATGTCTTATTAGAGCTGCTTTCTACCCTTAGAGCACATATGAATGCCTTGTTTTGAATCATCATTTTAACTCTGCACTTCTTGGATTTGTAGTGATTTGTTTTGACTTGAAATAATCTAGAATATAATAATAGAGTTCATACTTATATTTCAATTAGGAATTTATTTATCTCTTTTCTACAATTTAAACAACATTTACCCTAAAAAGTAAATCATTTTCACTTTAGCCTGAATGTTACTAAAAGTTGACAAGAATGGTAAATTAAAGGATCATCATGAAGTATTTATATTAGATCTGATTTTGGTTGGCAAGGTCTGTACGTTGTGTCCAAATCATGTACACCTGTGCTTGTGTGTCACTCTGCAGAACCAACGGGACCCAAGGTTAAATGAGATTCTTTTTCCGTTCTATGACCCAAAAAGAGCCATGCAGATTATCGATAAATATGAAAGGGATGATGAGCTGAAGAAAAAAGGTACAATAATGAAAACAGGAGGTAGATACTTTTTTTCTTTGCCTCTGCTGCCATCTGCTTGTGCAACCTTGAAGGTACAAAAAGTCAGACCAGATAATGACTTTAATAGTTATTTACTGAACTGAGGCTTTGGTTTAATTTATCTTATGGTAACAGCTATACTGGCAACACTCAGTTATTTGCCACATATTGATGATAAACTGGAGATTCCAGTCCTCAGGCTAAGCTGTGCATCTATAATTCTTTCTTCTGAAATAAATACATTGTTGTTATTTTTTTTTGTTGTTGTTACTGCTTTAAGTCTCCTTCCCAGTATTAATATATTGTTCCCACCAAATTTCATCTCCCTCTCGTCTTCTTCCTTCAGGCCACATGTCAAGTGACGGGTTCTGTCGGTACCTAATGTCAGATGAAAATGCTCCAGTGTTCCTGGACAGGCTAGAGCTGTACCAAGACATGGATCAGCCTTTGGCTCATTACTTTATCAGCTCCTCCCACAATACATACCTGACAGGAAGACAGTTTGGAGGGAAGTCATCGGTGGAGATGTACCGCCAGGTCCTCCTGTCTGGATGCAGGTATCTTTTAGTGGGTTGGTCTTCTCTTGCAATGAATACGGAGGCTGGGATGTTTCAGTGATTCAGTCATTTCAGAAGCAGAATTTACTCAGATTTCTGATTTGATACACTGGAAACAATTATTTTACAAACTTAAAACTATAAGAAAAATGCTACACTTTATTTTCTTCATTAATATTTTAACTTGTTGCACAAACAAGTTTTAGCTGGACCAGTACCTGCTTTACTTAAGAGATTCCTTTGAGTCAATAGTTCTGCTGGATATTCTCATGTTCCTGAATGTCTTTGACTTCACAAATAAGTCCCAGTCTTTCATCAAATAGTCCAAATAGCTACTGTTCTGTTAATATTTTGGAACTTCTCCATGTGTAATTTTTGTACTTCAGTGAGATTTCTATTTGTTTATGGACTAGATGTGTGGAGCTGGACTGCTGGGATGGCAAAGGGGAGGACCAGGAACCCATCATTACTCATGGCAAGGCCATGTGCACAGACATCCTGTTCAAGGTGAACACCCACAGCAGGGCATTACTTTCTGATATATTCAGCTGTCAGAGCTTTCTGATACTTGCTTTGAATTAAACCTTTTCTTTAATATTTTGTCACATTTGTAATTGCACCCTTAAACCTAAAAACATTTAACCATTGTGGTCCTATAATGTGCGATCAGTGAAGTGGAAAACTGCTTCCAGATTAATAGTTCTTTCCACAGAGGAAGGGGGACATCATGTGAGCACTATTTATTCAAAATATATGCATTAAATTCAGAGCCTAGACGTTAAAAAAATTTAATATCAAGATGAATTGTCATGCTTACCTTCTCTGGTTAATCCTTCTGGACAAGGCTGAATAAACTTACAAGGTTTATCTGTTTAAGCAAAAATATGCAAGTATAAACATGGGAAATCCAACCATCATAGAATTCTAGAAGAGAGAAGAGAAATTCTAGAAGAGAAATTTTGAACATTTTCTGCCGTGTCATATATGTGAAAATGTATAGTTATAGCAAACCTCACTGAACTCCAACAGATGTTTGGTCTGATTTTTTATTTTCTTCATATAAATCAGGTTTCAATGTATCATTGTGAAAAATATGTGAACAGAACCCAGGTTCTAAATGAAAATGTTTCTTTTACTAAAGTGCAAAAAGCAGAATAGAAGAGGCGTGACATACTGAAATGAGAAGGAACTTTACCTACTGTGGCAGCTTGTAACATTTTGCTGCCATCTTGTGTTCATACAGTGAAACTACATTTCTTTTCTCCTTTTTTTTTCTACACACAGGATGTCATCCAAGCGATCAGGGATACAGCGTTTGTCACATCAGATTATCCTGTTATTTTGTCTTTTGAAAATCATTGCAGGTATATTTTCAATCAATACAAACCGACATGTCAAATACATATCGATGTTCAGTTGGTTCAATGTGAATTTTTTTGTTTAACTGTAGTAAATTACAGCAATATAAGATGGCCAAGTACTGTGAGGAGACCTTTGGCGACCTCCTCCTCAGACAGCCTCTGGAGAACTACCCGGTAAAGTGTCTCTCTTTAGGATTTAAATTGCTTCTCATCGTGTATAACAACCAGCTCATAGTCATGAAAATAGAATTGTGCAATCTCTCTCTGTCTGACTTGTTTTAAGATGGATCCTGGACACCCCTTACCCTCTCCAAATGACCTGAAGAGAAAAATCCTCATCAAGAATAAACGTTTAAAACCCGAAGTTGAGCAGAGTACGTATACAGTTAAAGATATGTTTGAATTTGTCCACATGCTGTTATGTTTAGAAACTGGGATTTTGAACCCTTTGGTATTTTTCCACAGGGCAGCTTGAGGCTTTAAAAAAGCACATGGAGGCAGGCGAGACCAACACTCCTGCCATCATAATGGGAGAGGAGGTTGAGGACGATACAGAGAACGGTCAGCTGAATAGAAACTTGACTTCATCTTTGTGTTAAATGCTAAATGTTCCTAGTAAGTTAAATGCTGCAGGAGTTGAAGCCAGTCTAGTCAAGTTATTGACTACAACGTTTATCCTCTGGCCCCTTAAAGTGGCTCATCCACTGTTTTTAATGTATAAGTATGACATACAGCCAAACAACCCCAGAGTATCACTCTATCCCCACTATGCTTGACATTAAATTGGCTATTCTTAGATTTAAAAGCCTCTTCATGACTCAATAAAATGATCTGCTTGCGATTGTGCTTCGATAGGTCAATCTTTGTCTTGTCGGAGTTAAATTTAAAGCAAGTCTTTCTGTTTCAGAACATGTCAAACTTTTCTTTTTCAGCTGTGACACTGGTGCCGCAATTTATGGGAGGTTTGGGTTGATGCAAAACACAATAACCTTTAGTTTATACCTGAAATAAGAGTTTGGTTGACAAAACTGGACATTGGTGATCAAAAACCAGAAACTTGTTGATAGTTATGAAAAGCATTTAGCCCAGGAGCAGCTAGCTAAGCGGCTTGTGTCCAAGTGAAGATGTGTGTTAGTGAAGAAGGCATTCAAAGGGATATTTTAATATCCATATTCAGAGAAAAATGTCTGATATTGTGTACAAACAGGAACAGAAAAGATAACGGGTTGAAATACATTTTGAGTAAATGTAAGTAAGACAACATTTTATTTGGTGTTGAAGGGGAAAAAGATGCTGAGGAGAAGGATCTGAATTCAGAGGCTCCCAGCAGTCTGACAGAAGCCACCAGTGACAAAGAGGCAAACAGTGTTTCCCAGAGTAACACCATCAGGTCGAGGAAGGAGGAAGAGCGCAGCAACAGCATCAAAAAGGTCAGTCTGTTTAAATAACGAAACCATGAGGAACAGATTTACACAAAGAAAGCTGCTCATTCATTTCATGAATGGCTCAGCATGCTTTCTGATTAGCTTCAGTAACATACAGTGAGACAAATAAAACAGTTGGAGTATCACCAAAACACTAAATATCTGAAACGTGTTTTTTTATGATTTAACTCTCTTTATATCCGCAACAGTAGTATAGCATGTAGGCGTCTCAATATGCCTGTTCTACCAACCCAGTAAGAAAGGGCATTATTTAAAAAAAAGGATTTTTCATTTGCTTTATGACCTAGAACATTTTTGTTTTGTTTCATTTGTTTATAGACCCTAAATTTCAAGTAATTTAATATTTGATTTAAATGATCAATAAAAGGAGTAATTTTAATTGTTTGGAGGAAGATAGTTTGTCATTTTTGGTAAACAAAAAAATAAAATAAAAATTGTTGAAAACAAAATAGTTAGCTTAAAATATGAACATCAACAAACAACTATTGATTACTTGGGCTTATTGTTGTTATTTCCTGTTACTTTATAAAAAATAAGACCCCAAATCCCCCCTGAATTCTGTTTCTTCAGTTTAATTTCTTAGTTTCACATTTAGTACAGCTGAGTTTTATATTCTCAAAGGTTATGTTCATAGTTAATGGAAATCTGGCTCATGCCATATAATGTACTTTATGAAAATAAATAACTTGAGTAGAAAGTTGGAATAAGAATTTATTCGATTCGTGCCCCTGTTATCCACAGCTGTAGTTCAGCTAAATCATCCATGCAGCTGCGGCAGGACTGCAGTGTTTGTTTTAGAAAATAAATGAAACCTAAAACTACAGAACAAGTGAGACCTAACAGTTGTTGGTAATGAATGTCCTCCTAGGTCCCATCAGACAGTACCAGACAGTTAAGAATACATGTTTTAAATGATTTAGCTGCTAAACTAACTGTACGTCACAGAAAGAAAAGTAAGACCAGCCATCTTTGTAGGACTTACTGATGCTTTGGTTCTGGTTCTTTGTCCAGGTACCTGACGATGAGGTAACAGAGATTTCTGAAGCAACAGACGCCACCGATATCTCTGAGGCATCTGACCAAGACAATAACAAGAAGGCAAGTACCTGACAATGTTTCTCCTTTCTGTAGGAATTTAAAGCAAGATATATGAGAATAAATATAATAAACTTATCTCTGTCCGGTGTAGGGTGGAGAAGTGGCAGAGGACTCTGAAGAGGCTCTAATAGCTCAATATAAATATGAGTCAGCCACCACAAATATCCACCCCTATCTCTCAGCTATGGTCAACTATGCACAGCCGGTTAAGTTTCAGGGTTTCGATGTGGCAGAAGGTGAGGGTCATACTTGTCATTCTCTTCTATAGGTCAAATGTATTTGTAGTTATTCTGTACATTGTTATAGTGAGCCAAAAACAAGACAAAACAGCCATTGAGTCCAACGAAAAAAACTTTATTTAATTGTTTTCACCTGTGTTTCAGAGAGAAATATTCACCACAACATGTCCTCTTTCAATGAGTCAGTGGGCTTGGGCTATCTGAAGACTAACGCCATCGAGTTCGTCAAGTATCCTCCAAGCCTCTCTGAGAACATTCTTCATTTAGATTGATGTGAAAAAAATGAATAATAAACACCCAGTAATGTTACAGTTGGCATAATAGGAGCTTCTGCAGCCTATAAATAAAGCTCACACACATCATGTCTTCCAGATGAGCCACAATGGTTTTCAACCATATTTGGGTCCATGTCTTTTTCAGATTTTTTTTGTAAAAAGGCAAACTTGTAGCTTCTCAAGCTTAGTGTTTCTAAATAGTGTAGATGGGTCAGATGAACTTATGCATATTTCCTGCTCCTCAGAGGAACGACTTGTCCCAAGCGTTCACTCCAAAAATAGCCCTACAGTCTGTTTGATGAAGAGATGCAAACACACACACATCACCCCCCCCCCCTACAGACATACACTCACATGTGCAGCAACAACAATGCTCCTCCTCCTTTTTTTTTTTTTTAAATCACTTGAAATTTTCCTGAGCATCAGTGCAGCTACAACAAGCGTCAGATGAGCCGTATCTACCCCAAAGGAGGCAGGGTGGACTCCAGTAATTACATGCCTCAGATCTTCTGGAACGCAGGCTGCCAGATGGTCTCCCTCAACTTCCAGACCCCAGGTACCACGGCGTTTAACATGGGACTGCTGACCTCACGCACAATGCAACTGCTGCACATTGTTCCCCTATTTAGGAAAGTGCCTCTGATACAATGGTGTCTAATACACAAAGGACAGATTAATAAGCTGCTAAACGATATGCAGAAATGAAAATAAAAGAAGTGGAAGGTTAAATTCACTTAGTTTGAATTAAAATCTGATTAAGATTTTGTTTGGAATAATTAGATAAACATTTTTTTTTATGAATTGCATTATATCTTTAATACTGAATGGTGTCATTTATGTCAGCAGGCCTTAATAAACAATAATACACTTAATATTTATCCATTATTTGAAGGTTTTCAGTGCATTACTGTTTGAATGTTCTCATTTTATTTTAACAAGTCTTCAAACTTTAATATTTTTATGCATGTCTTTGATAACTCAAAATAAATTAATAAATAATTATTAAATAAATACATACAGTCCCTCTGTTTGTAATTAAATTAATAAATCTAGTTGGTCTTTATGATGTAGTGGCTAGAAAGCAGTTGTCTCAAGTTTATAGCAAAGGTGCTGTTTGACACACAGTGGTGGCAGTGTCATGCTTTGGGTTGCTAATTTATAATAGCAGCAGAGAAGCTGGTCAGAGCTGATATGAATACAATGTGAAAGCAGGACAAAAAAGTGGCTTTTAGATGCTGCAGAAGACTTAAAACCTGGGCCGAATGTTAATCTGGTTAATCAGGTCAATGATGCTTGAATTAAGGTCTTTAAATGTGCAGAAATATGGACTAAGGGAGGATGAATGCAAATAGATGCTGCAGATTTTATGTGTTATTAAACAAAACCCGAATATTCTTTTTTTTCTTCATTGTTACAGTTATTCATTTATTTGGTTCGGTCAGCCACCATAAGATCCCACTGAAATACTTTTATAGTGTGCACTCGTACTATGAGAAAATATGGGATAGTTAAAGGAATATAAATAGTTTAGTATGGGAATGCACATGATATTTTGCATTTACTTTTGCTTCCATTTTTTTCCCAAGTTACATGCATGGATGTTCATCTCCTCTATTCTTAAATCCAAGTTCACATCTGTAGCTACAGAGTGCCGCAGGGCCTACAGCATTATGTTCAAGCTTTTTTCCAAATATGAAACCAAACAGCATGCAGATGCTTTAAACATACTGGTTGCTTCCAACTGGCTGCTGTTTGAATATCAGCCTCTGACCGTACACCTGTATTTTTTTTTTTTTACTGTGAACAAACAACTTTATACTGTGAGTTATAGCTGTTGGAAAGCAGCTGCTGCTCTGTGTCCAGAAGCAAAAGTCATCTTGACCATATGGTCAGCTGCATGCCGGCCATGTGCAGAGCTGGAGGCCACTAACACAGGAACTGGAGCTCCTGGGGATAGATGATGTTATAAAATGGAAAAATATATTGTATTCAGCCAAAGAAAACCAAACATTTACAGATTTACTGGTTTATTGTTTTCATGCATTTTTTAAACAGACTTAGATTTCCTTATATATGTACTGTATATATATTTTTTTTCTGTATAATGTTCATTTTTAACACTCTTTTCTCCTGTTTGCTCCATCAGATCTGGCCATGCAGTTGAACCAAGGAAAGTTTGAATATAACGGCTGCTGCGGGTGAGCAAAGTCCCTCTATCTGCCCCCCCTTTTCAAGGCTCATCAATTACAACTTGTCACGTCTCATTACTTATTGCCAGTAGCTACTATCTACCCCTGAGAGCCAATAAGTGCCTTGAAAAAGGACGCTCCTTTTCACTCGTCTCTGCATTCATTTACATCTTCCTCTTCCCATCGTCATCTCCACTCCTTGACTAATACTGTCCCTGAGGGGATGGATTTACTGCTAATTCTAGGAGTGTCATCAGTAAAGAGGGCAGGGCATCTGCAGACAAATGTCATTATTAATATTTTATTATGTGTAGTATCCTTCACTTATAGTTTGCTTTTTTATTCTGCCTGAAATGGTAAAGAGATCTGCAGAAACATGTAAAAAGATATTTATTTCTGACTTATCAGTATTCAGTTGATTTAAATTTCTGTTATCATGGTAGTTTTAACTCTCTCCTGCACTCAGGTACCTGCTGAAGCCTGACTTCATGCGCCGGTCTGACAGGACGTTTGACCCTTTCTCAGAAACGCCGGTGGATGGCGTCATTGCAGCAACCTGCAGCGTCCAGGTGAGCTTCTAGGAAGACGGGTGCATGGTTATCATGACTCCTCACTGACATTTCCTGCATTTCTGGTAGCTTTGATGCATCGTTGTTATTTTAAAATCGGAATCTAATCCCGTTTTCCTGACATCTCCCAGGTGTTTTCTGGACAGTTTTTGTCAGACAAAAAAATCGGCACATATGTTGAAGTTGACATGTATGGTTTGCCAACGGATACCATCCGGAAAGAGTTCCGCACACGCATGGTGATGAACAACGGACTAAATCCAGCCTACAATGAAGAGCCCTTTGTTTTTAGGAAGGTAGGGAACCAGAAAAGTTTCGAATCAGCCATTTATAAGAAGCCTTGCAAAAAGTATTCAAACCCCTAGAACATTTCAACACATTCATGGTATGTCCACTTTTTCTATAAAAACTTAATACTTAAATAATCAAAGCTGTCTGTTTATTATTGGTCCATTTTTAAAAATAAGCCCCAAAAAATCATAAAAAATAAACTACTGATCTACTACACTACCTAAAGTCTTGCCCTAGTTTAATCTTATGTACTGTTATGCTGTTGAAGTTCATATATTTATAAATATTATAAGTACTGATTTTACTATGGGTATTTTTTAAGGCTTAAATTCTAAAATAACATAAAGCAGAAACAGCTGGGGAAGGAAGGAAAAAGAAAACTGGTTGGGTAACTACATATTTAGACTTAGACTTTCTTTATTGTCATTGCACAAAAAAACACAAGGTGAATCTTGACAAAAAATGTTGATTACTTGGCTACCAGTGTAACAGAGCTAAGACCTTATTCTTGCACAATAAATATGTTTTCTATAGCTAGGAGCTAGCTATATACAGGGTAAAGAAGTATATATATACATATATATTGCACTGAGTTATTGAAGAAGTAACATCAGTAAGTATTGCACTGATTTATTGCTACACAAAACAAAATATAATGAGTTACGTGAGTTTATGGTTCAGACAATGAGATGGGAAATAAATATCTAACAAAAGCAGTTTTCCATACTTGAGATCTTGAAAATGCAACAATTTATAGAAAAGCACAGCAGGAATATATAGCAGCCCCATTTAAAAGTCAACAGCTTTTTTTTTTTTTTTTACAGTACCCTGTAAGGCTTTAAATTCTCGGCCTCATCTCGATACCGTTTTCTGTTGATTTCTTTTGAGGACAATACGATGTTCACTACTATCACAAAGTCTCTCTTGATGCAATTTCCATACAAAGTCAGGGGCCGATATGACGTGATAAAACCTCGCACAACTATTTAACTTAATATCAATTTACAAAAAACTCAAATGTGTTTTTTATTTTCAAGCTCTTACAGGAATAAGGCATTTAAATAAAAAAAATAACTAAATGGGTATAATTGATTGTTATTGATGTTTTGTTATATTCTCTGTATTTAACATCATCATTCACATCAACTCTGATCAGATTCCCTGTTAAAGACAAATATCTCTAACATGCTAAAAAGGTCAAGTGGGTCTGGTTTTATGTCGAGCATCAGATATATTAATCATCAGATAATAAATGAGAACATAGCCTGAGCATTGTGGAACCAAATGCAGAGTGTATATTAGTTTATGTCTCTGCACACATACACAATGAATTAAGGATAAAAAAATACATTTAGAAACAAAAAAAGGGAAAAAAGAATTACAGGTAAAATGGATAAACAGGAAAATGAAAGATCTGAGACAGAAAGCCGTGGAGTAATGTGGAGATAATAGTGCTGCTCTCAGCAGAATAAGAAGTCTCTCAGCCATGACTGTGACTCCAGCTTTCTAACACACACCATCCATCACACCCTGCCGCAGTGCTGCTTTACTCTCTTCCTCTCTCTCTCTCTCTCACACACATAAACTTCCACTCTGCTATCAGAGAGGAGCATCATACCCAGAGCTTCTGTCAGGTTTCTCGTTTCATGTCCGCACTCACAAATACCTGCAGGTAATGCCACATGGTCACTGTTTACATGCTGCTGTCACAAAGACACTGAGTATCCAGTACACCTCAGAGTTGTTCGCTCTCATACCATATAACAACAGAAGCGTAGGTGTAGACAGCTGTTGCCTCTAACCAATGTTCCCCTTTTTTTGATCTGCCTTTAATTTCACCTCAAACCATTACTTAAACAAATGATATTTTCCTCCCTTCCTACCATGCTTCTTACATCCCTACCTTTAAGGTAATCTTACCAGATCTGGCAGTGCTACGCATCGCCGTCTATGATGACAACAATAAGCTGATTGGGCAGCGCATCCTGCCTCTTGACGGCCTGCAGGCGGGCTACCGCCACATCTCCTTGAGGAACGAAGGCAACAACCCTCTGTCGTTGCCGACCATCTTCTGCCAAATCATCCTGAAGACATACGTGCCCGACGGCTTCGGAGGTGAGGGCAGCAGAAGCACACACGTGCTCGTTGGCAGCATGGTTTGCAGTTATTTGCTTGAAACATTTCACTTTCCATCAGAAAACTACAGGTGCTGCTCGTCCCAACTTGCAGTCTTTAGCTGCAGTCAGATTATTTCTGGCTGATAATGATGAGATGTCTGTAGCCTACAGGGAGAGCAGGGGAGAAATAGAAAGTATAGAAAGCCTCTTCTCATCCTGTGCCCCGGGTGGGAAAGCTTTAACATTTGCAGTAACGGCACGGCACAGCTGATGACGACAGTACATCTGCAGACAGTTTCATACGGGCACAAGCATACTAATGAGTTGGACAATCGGAGTTGCCATTAAATAAAGCCAAGAGGCTTGGAGTCAGGAGCCATTACTGAGACTATTAGCGTCTCTCTCCCCCTTTCTAGTGCAGCACCGCTCATAATTTCTTGAAATTGTTTGGAGAAATGATGAGGCTTAGCTTTATCTGAAGGATATCTTTTTTTTTTCAACTGCCATTTGTTGTGTCTTCTTGTGTGCAGCAATTGTGGATGCTCTATCAGATCCAAAGAAGTTTCTGACCATAGCGGAGAAGAGAGCTGACCAGATGAAGGCCCTGGGGATTGACACGGTACACCTAACGAATATATACCTTCTTACAGTGATAGTATAGGTCTCTTGTAATTGGTTCCTCTGGCCAACAGAATGACATAGCAGATGTTCCCAATGGAAGCTCAAAGAATGACAAGAAGGGAAAAGGAAAAGGAGACACAGGGAAGGCCAGCGTGGTCCAACAAGCCAGCTCAGATATGGCCCAGACCTCCAACTCTACCCAAAACAACACCAATGAGAACAAGAAGGGTAAACACTGAATTTTTACAGATTTGTTAAACCAATGAACCCCGTTTGTATCCTACACACTGATGAGTATTTCTGGTGTTTTAGATGCTGCACTTGTGCCAAATGTCAGCATCGAGGACTTAAAGCAAATGAAGGTTTGTGTTTCAGTTTTGAAATATCTTTAGTCATAAAAGTCTAATGGTGATTGTTAGGGTTGGATCTAGCTTGGACTGAGATATTTATATAAAAATGAAGACATGGATTCTTGCTCCTCAATCTCCTGTGTTAAAACCTCAGACTTCAATGTTGTTATTGGGATTTAATGCGAAGAACAACACCAAGTAGCATGTTTTGAATTTGATGAAAAGGGACACAAAGGGTTTAAAGTTATCTACAAGAATCTAAATAAATGTTCTTTTCTATTTAGCCACTGTCCTCCATCATACCTAAATAAAACCATTCACAATCAGAAGTCAGTGAGTAAACAGAGCCCACCTGTGTGTATGTTTACTTTTTAATTAATACAGTACATGTAAGGCAGGACTGCAATACCAGAAGAACTGAAAGATTCCCACAGCATGATGCTGCCACCAACCCATTCAGCATGGAGGTAGTGGGTTTCCCTCTAGAAAACCACCATTGCATTGGAAAAAGGGATTTTGGTCTCATCTGACAACGGTGTCTTATTTTTTTGGATTGGCATTTTTTTCCCTGCATTGTTTGATACATTCTGCAAAAATGATTAATCTTTCACATCCTGTCAGGGTAGATGGACAGCCATGTTCTGCTCTGTTTGCAACTGTGTGATATTGTTAATAGGTTCCTATGGGTGTGAATTGGTCTTAAAACCTGCCTTAGGTTTCCTCCCTACCTGTTGACTGTGTTTCTTGGTCTTTAATACTGAGATCATTCTACACACAGGTAACTTCTGATGGTAATTAGTTGGACTGGATGTTATTTAGGGTTGTTTGAGTAAAGGCAGCTAAGAACTGTCATGTGATGTATGTCTTTTTCCCTCCATTTCCACTTCATGGTTTACTACTTTATTCACCGCTTTGTGTCGATATTTTACTTAAAGGAGAAGTTCGGTTTTTTACACTTTAAGCCCATTTTCTGTAGTGTCCAGGATGAAATCGAATGAAGGACACCAAAATTTTGACAATTGGTCCTGTCTCTGCTTTTTGGCTCATTTAGAATCAACCCCTGGCTGCTTTAGAATGGCTAGCATAGAGCATGTCCGATAATGTCCTTAAAACAACCTTAAACGTTCTTTTTTTAAAATATGCTACTCACCGTGTCGTCAGCGCTGTTCAATGACGTTCCAAAAAAAGTTTCGTGAAGAAAAAACGTTCCTGTAGTGTTTTATTTAGCATTTTGTAAATCCCATTGAGTTCTGTAGGAATAGTCAATATTCCGCTGCCACCGGAAACGGAAATGGGGCCTGTTTACACAGTTGTAGTCTTTTCGCTTCACTCTGTGTACTCCGACGTCGAGAATCAAGAATCCACCTTTCGTATTCCATTTTCAGAGTTTTTTAAAGTGTTTAACAGAGACGTTAGCACCTCGACGTCGGAGTACACAGAGTGAAGCGAAAAGACTACAACTGTGTAAACAGGCCCCATTTCCGTTTCCGGTGGCAGCGGAATATTGACTATTCCTACAGAACTCAATGGGATTTACAAAATGCTAAATAAAACACTACAGGAACGTTTTTTCTTTACGAAACTTTTTTTGGAACGTCATTGAACAGCGCTGACGACACGGTGAGTAGCATATTTTAAAAAAAGAACGTTTAAGGTTGTTTTAAGGACATTATCGGACATGCTCTATGCTAGCCATTCTAAAGCAGCCAGGGGTTGATTCTAAATGAGCCAAAAAGCAGAGACAGGACCAATTGTCAAAATTTTGGTGTCCTTCATTCGATTTCATCCTGGACACTACAGAAAATGGGCTTAAAGTGTAAAAAACCGAACTTCTCCTTTAAACTAAGGGATGATTGCAATAGAATGCTAAAGATATTCAACCAGTGAGAAATGTTCAGCTCCATCTCACTACGAAACTCCACCTTTGGTTCAGGGTGCATCAAAAAATAAAAGAAATCACTAAATGTTTCTACCTACTTTTGTCTGAATCTAGCCCTGGTTCCTGCAGTAAGGTAGTAAAACTTAGAAACATACTGATAAAATCCCTCTGAAATACACTGAAGTCTGAGGTTATAATTCGGAAAAGATAAATGGATAGGAAAACTTTTGGAAGTCCCACCACATGGCTGCTGGGCAGCCAGTGTCCTAGACTGCTATGTTCATTGTCAGCTTGTGTTATGGTCGACACAAGAACACCTAAATCTCTGTCTCCCCCTGCAGAGTTACCTGAAGCTGATTAAAAAGCAGCAGAAGGAGCTCAACGCTTTAAAGAAGAAACACTCAAAGGTAGGTGGGAGTTTGTTGGTAATGCAAAGTGGCTGCTTCTTATTTCTGAGGGTGATTGAAGCTCTGAAAAACCAGAAGCAGAACAAGGGGAAACGCTGCAACCTTTCATCTCATGCTTCATCATTTTTATGCCTGCTCACATAAACACAAATAGCTCTTTATAAACAAACATGAGATGACCACGTGATGAATGCTTTGGAAGAAATTAGACTTGCTAAAGTTCTGTGTTGACCGGCTGTCTCTATGGAGACCACAGCGGCTGCTTGTTCATTCACACTGCATCATAAATTATCACAGTATTACTGTTTTTATGCAGCATAGGAATATAAAGAAGCATTAATCTTCAGTATAAACAGAAACTCATATATATTGCCTATCTTTTATGTAGCTATTGAATTAAAAGATACAGACACAAAACACTGAAATTAATTAAATATATCGACTTGACAGGATCAAAACTCAATGCAGAAAGCCCATTGCACTCAGGTGGATAAGATGGTGTCCGTTCATGAGAAGGAAAAGGCTAATCTGGAGAAACTGTTAGAGAAAGCCATCAAGAAACGAGGGTAAGCAAGGAACCACCATAAACATTGTCAATATAATCTATCAAACTGTTTTTGCTTTCTGCATTTTCTCAGACATTGAGTCTTACTGTTTTTACTGACAGGGAGAATAACTGCCAGGAGCTGAAGAAGGAGACAGAAGATAAGATCCAAACTCTCAGCACAGATCATAAAGCAAAGGTATGAAAGGTTTTCTGCAAAGCAGATGATTCTGTGTGACAAACAGTGACTAGTTAACCAAGCCGTGCGTACGTGTGCAGGTTAAAGACATCACTGCGCAGCACACTAAGGAGTGGTCAGAGCTGATCAGTAGTCACAGCAGCGAGGAGCAGCTGATGAAGGATGTTCATGTTACACAGCAGTGTGAGCACCTGAAGAAGCTCCTCTCTACTTTCCAAGAGCAGCAGACCATGCAGCTCAAGCTCATTCATGAAAGGTGGCAAACACATCCTGTATACTTCTGTTTAACAAAATTGATCTTACCACACGTTGATATGAAAAAGTACCATGCTGCTTTTAACATTTATTCTGTGTAAATGTTCGATTTAGGCAAAGCAAAGAGATGCGAGCCAACCAGGCCAAGATGTCAATGGAAAACAGTAAAGCCATCAGCCAAGACAAGAGTATCAAAAACAAAGCAGAGCGAGAGAGGTGCGTCCCGTGGCGTGCCTGCTTTGTGTCTGTCAGATCTTAAAGTCAAAGCACTGTCTGATTAGCTGTTTTTCACATGCGGCTATTGTTTTTGTCCTTCAGGAGGGTGAGGGAGCTAAACAGCAGCAACACCAAGAAGTTTTTGGACGAGAGGAAGAGGGTACGCTGTCTGCAACATGTATAATAATAAAACCTATTTCCTTTCTTAGCATCACGTTTGTAAAAAAAAAAAAAAAGAAACAAAACATTGATTTATTATGAGGAGATGTTTTAACACATATATTAAGCATTGGGTAAAATGTGGGGTAAAATCTACCTAAATGAGAACAATTTAAAGCTGTGCATCAAGTAATAATTCAGATAATTTAGTAACAGAGTCATAAAATGTTTGTGTTCTGGTTTGTTTCCAGCTGGCCATGAAGCATCAGAAGGAGATGGAGCAGCTGGAGAAAAATCAGAGGGAGCAGCTGGATAAGCTGGAAAGGCATAACGAGCAGGTAAACAACTAAACAGAAAATATTTGAGTTAAAGAGGGAATTTCACCAACTGCAGATATGATGGTGAGTTCAGGTCATTCTGTGGAGGGAATTAAATATTTGTATCTTAGATTTTTTTAAATATTAGTTTATTTAAAGTGCTTTTCTACCAGTGTCTGACCACGCATCTAATTTCATTGCATTTTCAGCAGAACATGAATAAACTTTATTCTTAAACTGGAACATTCATGTTTGATTCACTCTTGCAATTTAAGCACTATAATTGCTGACTCCCTTTTCCTATGTATTTCTTATAATATCGCTTTACTTTAGATCAGGCACTGCCTTTGTTGCTCCAAAAATATTAAAGGTATAGTGGAGGATTTTCGCAAATTTTTGAAAAGACTTGCCCTCTCCACATAAAAAAAATGCACATGCAAAACCCTGTACCCGCTCACTAGAGGAAATGCCTAATAAACACGTGAGAGAGCATGCATAAGCCCATTTATCCTCATGCACGCTCTGTTTAAAAGTTGCTGTTTGCATCGCTAATACAAGCTTACTTTCCAAAAGAAGATTTGAAATTTTTCCACTATGTCAGACTCACCACCAGTAAGTGAAAATGGGGACGAGCCCGTAGGACGGCCTTAAATAAACATATCACCAGAATGATTGACAGGAGGACCAATTATTTAGATGATCCACCCGGAAAAAGCTACTATAGCTTTAATGATCTAGTTAGAAGAACAATGCTGGTTAAACTAAAAGATACCTACTTGACTGCAAAGTTATTGTTTTTCCTTTTGAAATAAATGTTTTGCTCCATGTAGGGTTGTCAAAAGTATCGATACTCAAAAAAGTATCGATACTGAAATGTTGTATCCGGATACAATACTCGTTTTTAAAAGTATCGATACAGTGCCGTCACCAGTGGCACCTAAGAAGTCATTCATCTAAAGTGCAGAATAGTGGAAAATGCACTTTCAGAACACTGTGTGATTGAATAATTCTGTGCTCTTTTCAGTTTCAGACGGGTTTTTTTTGTAACAGGTGCAGCTGCTGAGAATTATTTTTGTTTCTTAACTGGTTTGGCTAGTGTCATTATGTGTGCAAAGCATAGCCAAGGAAGGAACACTTAATTTGAATTTTATAAGTTTTTTTATCAAGCTTGCTTAATATTGTGCACAGCATACAACATCAAAATATTGTTTTTATTGTTTATTGTATTTATTTATTGTATTTTGTGTATTAATGAAAATATTTCTGTAGAATTTTGGAGTCTTTGTTTTTATCATTGTGGTATCGAAAATGGTATCGAGTATCGAATATTTTCCTTAGTATCGATATCGAGTTGAAAAGTTTAGTATTGTGACAACCCTAGCTCCATGTAAACAGACTATGATTATCAATCTGGTAAGGCCACAAGGATTAAAATAAAAAATGTACACGCATTGATTTTAGTTAGTGTTTAATGATCACTTTAGTAGCGATTATTAAAAACTTTAATCTTTTAATAGGATTTTTTTTTTTTTTGCCTACTAGTTAACCTGATACAAAGGTTTGTTTAGAGATTTCTGTTTGGCTTTACGCTGCTGTGTAAAGTCATGACCCAATTTTGCTTTTTTTTCATTTCATCATCTGTCACAGTATCTGTACATGTCTGACATGTATGTTCATTTGTTTATTATAATTTGCTTCACAGCTTTTGAAATCACATCATGCAAACAAACAGATTCAAGGTAGGCATCATTATCATCTGTCAACTCTGCTGCATCTCATGAGCTTTATTCCTCTTTCATCTCTCTTTGGTGTGACTTGTCTTGTTATGTCAATGACCTGCAGATCCTTCTCAAATTTCTACACTGATTTAGATTTATGGAGAATATTTGAAATGACACAAATTGAAGCAGGAAAATGTAATGATATAGGAGAGAAGAAACATATTCCTGTGGTTGAAACCTGTCCTGCTTTTTTAAGTCTGCAGCATTTGAAGGTGTCAGGCATGCCAGCTAGCAGCTTGACTCATTCATCACCATGACTCACCAGCCATTACGAAGCATAGAAAGCCAGCTCACAACCTGATGTAGCTTGTTTTCATTCTAGCCCACAATCATTTACATTCATAGCATGTGACAGCATCCATCTGTTGATATTTTGTGACGACTATTACTCCTACGTAGCATGAAAACACAGATTTGTTTTACTCTGATAATCTAAACGGTGGAGCAACCGATGCGAGTCATTACTGCAAGCAGAGATTGTAAACAGAAATGTGTTCCTAAAGAAGGATGAATTATTTGCTAAGCATTCAGCATCCACATTCCAGTCACATCTGTCTGAATTGCTCTCGTTTTCTCTCTCCTCGAAGGCCAGAGACATACAGCAGATGGTGAAGCTGGAGGAGGAGATGGACCGCAGGCCTGCCACGGTGGTCTGAGCGCCTGATCGAGTCACAGGCCCCACACATGTACATTGAAACACACTCATACACTCTCACGCAGAGGTGCAGAAACACTCCCCCTGCAGGACATCCTCTACAGTGCAAAAGAACAACATCCTCCTGAAAAAAAGAAGTCCAGTCCTCACTCTCAAACATGGAAGCTTTATCCTCTGTTCGCTCCCGCCACGCCTCGTGTCTTCTGCACCTTTATCCCGCCAATCAACTTTGTACCACTGAGCCACTGCTGCTTATCGCTGTACCACTGGGCGTAACCACTGTCCTCCAGATGGGAAATGTTACCTCGCAGATAAAGCAACACAGAAACAGACACACCCCTTCCTCCTCCACTGTGCGTACATCTCAGTCATTGACTTCACTCTGTTTTACACACAATAAAAGCTTCAGCCGTCGGTAGAATAAAGCACATGCATGCATCACGGTTCACACACAGCAGATATCTAATTTTCTTTGTCTTTTTTTTTTTTAATTAGCACCCAATAATCTCACGAATACAGTATGTAAAAAAGGGGAGAAGAGTTGTTAGACTTTATGTTATTTCAGCACAAATGATTACACTTTGTGGAATAAAGTGTACACACTCCACCAGTCCTGTCCGAAGCACTTTTTACACCATAGGTTGTTCAATGTGGGAAATGTAGCTGTGCACTACTGTTTGATTCTCTGTTTTTCAGTAAGAATGTATTTAAAGAAACAACTACTACTACTAAAAATATAAGTCCTAGAGAGAGGGGCTATTCCCTCACCAATACTGATCTCTTGTTAAGATGGACACCTGCAAAGGGATGATGGGTAATTTTACACACATTAACTTAGATAGATCTGATTTGCTATTTGATACAGAAAGTCAAATAGACTTTCACCTAAAAATTTGATCTAACAGGCTTCATTTATCAGATTCCCTTCGAATGCATCGTTCTCTCTCGTCATACTCAATAAATGATGTCATTAAAAACTTCCGTTTAAATAGATAAATCAGTCAAACATATAGGTTAATTACACAGAAGTGAACCCCACGTTTGTTAATTAAGAAGATTTTCCACCAACAGCAAATGGAAACGACTTTACGGATGAATATCTGACATCAAATTAATGAAAATTTTTTTTTGATACAGAAATGTGGGCTTAATGAAAAGTTTAATACCTTCATTAAGGAACTTTGAATTTGGCAAACAGTCTTCATTGAAGCACGTATTCTAATTTATTATGACTGTAGATGTCATTTTAAGCCACAGGATCACAAATTTCTATGCAAAAGTAACCCCATCCTTCCCTTAAAGATCTAAACAGCTGTTGCAGTGTGTGACAGTAACCCAAACGTGGGGAAAACAGAGTAGGAGGTGGTTATGTATTTGCTCTTACATGACCAGAGGCAATAAAATCTACCAATTCATAATGGTGAATTTATTTTTTACTTCCTCCATTAGACTGCACTTTAGCCACCTTATCCTTTAAAAGCTAGTGTTTACTGCTTCCTTATACTGTGCTGATTAGAGGTTTACAAGCACATCATTGGCATAAATGTTTATCATTTTGGTACAGTTACTGGCATTTTAATTGGTTCTAATTTCCAATTTAGATGAGTTCTACAAATGTACGGGTACATTGCGAAAAAGTGGAATATCTTCAAAAAGTTCAATATTTATTGTCAGTCATCTCTAAAAGTTGAACTCAGTTTCTTTCTAAATTAATTTAAATATTTCAGTCTTTTTTGTCACTTCAAAGACTATAGCTGCCTCTTGACAATCCTTTATGTGGTTCCGGTCAGCCCAGTTTCCCGGCCAATCAAGCCCAGTAGCACCATGGTTTGTGAACCAGCTTTAAGTAAATTTGGCAGCATGAGCAAGTAACACGTCCTGCTGGAAATCAAATCAACATCTCCATAAAGTTTGTCAACAGAAGAAAACATGAAACGCTCCATAGTTTCTCTGTAGATGGCTGAGTTCACTGTGAACATAAAATAAAATAAAAAACAGTGGGCAAACAACAGCCGGTCCATGAGATCATGGCTTGATGCAACATTTGTGACATTTGTAGCCCATGTGCTGAGATTCGTCTTAAGATTTTTGCTTGACAATCCTCCTAGGACTGCGGTTATCTGTTGATGGTGCACCTTTTCCTACCAAACTTTTTCCTTCCATTCAGTTTTCTTGTGGAAGGTGTATGAAGGAAAATCTTCCCTATGACTATGTCTACTGATGCAGACTGAGGAATCAATTACAGCAAAGGCATGGGAACCATTTGCATGTGACTCAATCAGCTGGTTAGGGTGCGACACCAGGAGATTCCATTTTTTTTTTAGATTTTTACCATATTCGAATGTTCTGTTTCAGAATTTGGATTATAATCTGATAGCCTCAATCATAAAAAAAAATGATTTAAAGTATTAAAGATGTGAAATACTCAACCTGATGTGTTGTGAAAATATTCACTCTTTTAAATGAGTGACATGAAATGTTGAACTTTTACGGATGAGTTTCACCAGTTCAGTGTCATCTAGTTTTAAAAACAAAAACTGGGTTGATAGGTTTAAATTCAATGAGTATCACCAAACAGTGTCAGTTATGCATGCAAGTTAAAATGCTTCATGCACCTTGTCTGATATCTGTGTAGATGTTCTTTACAAAAATGCCCAGAAATCACCAAGCATTGGGCATTACTCTGGTTAAGGCTCCGAAATATATCTAAAGTGTTTTATCGATACAATATTTATTTGACAAAGGAATGATAGAGGTGCATCTACTGTGGACTGATATATTCCAAGAGGTTTGAACTTGCATTTGTCCTCTTAATTTAACTCTTAGCCTGTAGGATGGATTTTTTCCTATGCTGTAAGGTTAGATGAAACATGGACAAAACTGGGTGAGAATATGCTGTTTAGATAAACACTGACATTGCTATTAAGAAGAGTGCTTTCTCTTTAACTTGCTAAAAACATTTAAACGAATATTAGAGAAGGAACATGTATATCTGAATTTTAAATGTATAAATCTAACCTTATATGTCCAAAAATTATCTAGGATCTGTGCCCAAAATGAATGTATTTAAACTTCTGATTCATACTGCAAATCAGGAAAAATAAAAACAAATTATTTAAAACGATGACCGTAACATAAATGTGCAGTAGAATATTGTTGTTTCTGTGTCTAAAGATGGTTTTAAAAAGAGCCCTAACCATCGCAAATGAAGAGTAGGCTAATATTAAGATGCGCAGCATAGAAACCAAAGGTTTACTAAAATAACACAGGCAGAAGTGACATTAACTTTTAAAAGGGGGATAAAAGCACTTGTTAATGTTTGGGTGTTTCTTGAAGAGAAATGTTTTTGTTTTTTCCTGTTTATTCTGTTGTAATAAAAAAGGTTGATGAGACGTTCATGTATATATATTCTGCTGGAGGTCACTTAACTGGCTCATCTTTCTGATTCACCTGTGTTCTTTCCCTGAACAGTTTGTGAACAGTCAGACATGTTGGGAAGGGACATTTGTTCAAGCACTGGCCTATTTTCTTGATCATTCGTCTTTGTGTTTCCCTGTCTGCCCTCACTGCATCACACCACACAATCTAAAGCTCTAACCACATATCTAGAACAGAGATGAAAAACCAGTAAAAAGTGCTTTTAAAGTTTATTCCATTGCTTTCAGATGTGCCACTCTGTGTCTGTTAGGATGTTTAAATTATTTTATGAATGATTAAATGCCAAATTAAGGGGTTATTTGTATGGAGGTATATATAAATAAATATATATTATATATATTAGATAATGTGTAGTTTAAGATTATTATGTTAGAAGCTTTTTTGCACTAGTTGTTTCTGTTATGTGAAAAAATGTAACATTTGGATCTTGAGTTTGTTCTAAACTAAGAAAAAAAGCAGATTATTTTTGCAGAGCAACATCCCCGGTTTCATTCTTTTCTTTGTTTTCTATTTGAATTGTAGCTTGTCAACAGACATTCAGTGTGTGTTTTTGTATTTATATTGTACTGTTGGACTTATAGCATTGACTATACTGTTGTTATCCAGCTCCTTTAATACTGTTTTATAGTACGTGTATCAATAAATCCAGGTGTAAAAATGGGACATCAACCTAAGCCTCATTTGTGTCTTAAGTCATCACACACCTTTACCTCTAGGACATTTCAATAACAAATTTCCATATGGGGATTTTGGTGTAATCCGTGTAATGTTTAGGAGGGAGGAAGAAAGGGGATTTTTTTTCTTAAACCTGATAACTTTGACATTCATGTAAAAAAAAAATAAATAAATAAAAGGTAAAATTTGCAATTCCGAAGTTACCGATTAGGAAATAGTCATATCATTTAATCAATTATAGATGCAGCTGTTAGAAAACATCACTAAATCAAGTATTATCAAATAACTTAGGTCAGAAAGAAAGATGAGAAGGATGAACCAGATTATGCCCATACAGTAGCTAAAAACTAATATTTTAGCACACTTGCAAATGTACTAAAACAACCGAGAGGCAGCCAAGAGGTCTATGGTAACTCTGCCACAGCCTTAAAATTCTGTTAAAGGAAGAAAATTGTCTGAAAGGACAACTGTTATTGGTGCATTTTACAAATCTGGTCTGGCTCAAAGAAAGAAGATAGAAAGACTCTGGAAATTGAGAAATAGAACAAAACTTAACCATATAATGCAAGTTCTATGTGTAACAGAAGAAAAGAGAAGATAATTACTTAAAATATATAATCCTCATTGTAAAACAAGGAGGTGGTGGTATCATGCTGTTGGGATTCCTTTCCTCAGAAGACATGAGGTAGTTGGGAGGAACAAATGGGAATGCTGGAAATCTGTTTATTAAAAAACCTTTAAATCCTGTGACCTGTGTGGGAGTTCACATCAACAATGACCCTGAATAAAGCTTACAACAAAAACCGGTTTGATCAAAACATATTCATGCTGAGATTCTGTAGGAAGACACGATTTTATGTTTAAAAACTCCATCTGTTCTAACTCAATCTGAGATAGTCGAACTAAAGAATCAGGAGAAATCACAAAGGATCCGCAGCTGCAGTTAGGGGATTCAACAGGAATGATTAAAAATGCACGCCACACTTTTCAAATCAAAACGTAGAAACGTTTGTTTTGGAACAGTTTGAACGGTTGTGTCTGATGTCTCCAGACCTGAACATGGTGAGAGTGGACTGTACACGCTCATCATTACTTCCCAAATTTATTTCTCTTCATCTCATTCAACAAGTGCCGGCTGAATTCATATGCAACATCCCCTCTCAAGCATCTAACGCGCCACCGCGGAGGCTCTTTATTATTATAAACAAGGCATTTCCATTAGAAAGCAGAAAGAAGCAGTTAATTATGCCTGAGTAGCCGCAGGGAAATTTTGCTTCCACTATAAAAAAAAGGCTTGAGACTCTATTTGGAGGCTTTCACCGGAAACATATGAGTTTAGTTGATTGAACTTTGCTTCTGTTGAAATAATATGCTCAAAGCTAGTGAGCAGACAGGAACAAAAATCCTCCTGGATGCGATGTCCAAGGATAAAGTCCACCTGACCAGGTTTGTTCTGGACGCGCTGGATGGAGAAATCGTTGACTCCAAAGCGGGCGGCGCACAGACGCCTCTCATCTGCTCCGTCCTGCTGCCCGATAGTCAGACCCGCTGCAGGTTTATAGAGCTTCTGCTTCAGAAAGGAGCCAGTGTCAACTATCAAGATGGGAACGGACGCACAGCGCTCAGTCATGCCTGTGAGATTGGATACCTGGACGCGGTTAAGATCCTGGTCCAGAACGGCGCAGATCCAGAGATCCAGGACTCCTGGGGGAATACCCCGCTGATGTACGCGGCTGTGGCGGGTCACACCCTGGTAGTGGAGTTTTTGGTGAGAGCCTTCAAGAGGCTTGGTCTGCAGATAGACAGGCAAAACAAAGCGGGAAACTCCGCAGTTGAAGTAGCAAAGTTCCTCGGGCACACAGCGTGTATTTCTGCGCTCACCAACACCTCCAAGAGGAGCCATGAGGCTGATGGAGGGAAGTTTGAGAGAAAAGTTGATACCTTGGCAAGGAAACTTGAAGTTCTCGAAATTTGTGATGATGGAGAAATGTCTCCAATTCGCACCTTGTGTCCAATACCACAGATAAAACCCAGCCGTTTGCCAGCGATGGAGCTGGAAAGGGAAAACAATAAATGCTCCTCTGGTCTACAGGATATCAACCCTGGATTACGCGCTCCTGTTCCCCGGCCAGGGATTTACCCTCGACCCATTTCTAAACACCGTAACAGCCTGGAAGGGATACCCTCCTCCTCGCATCACTTGCCCCCTCTCCTAAACAATCGCAGTGCTGAGAAATCAATGTTCTTCTCCCCGCAGCCAAAAAGAAACCTGCCGCATCCCTGCGCGCCATCCACTCTAAGCATCTTATTGACGCCTCTTCCTCACAACAGACGTGATACTGAGATGGGAAGAGAGAAAACTTCCCGTATGCGAAAATTTAACGAATGCTATTATAGAAAAAGATGCAGTCTGCCAGCTAGTATGCTTAGTCCTACACCCCCGGAGCGCATCGTGGAGCCTGTGCGTAAAACCAGGACAGCGAGGAGGCGCAACGAGTCGATCAGCTTGACTGAACCACTTCAGTTTAACATGACACCTTCTGCATCCACCACAACTACTTTCTCGGCATTGACTAATAAATTCTTCCGCAGATTTACCTCCCCGGAGTTCAAAAAGGACGAGGGAGACATGGAACAGGACTTGGTGCCGACATTAGGCCGCTTTCCGCGATCAGAGACCTTCCCCCAGTACCCAAAGCACTCGCTGGTGGACAGCACCCCCAGCATCGACAGCATCAGTTCCGTCAAGTGCGAATTTGACTTTCAGTTTAAAAGGACCAACTTTTAAACGACTGAATCGGTTGCGTAATGTTTGCCCTGAAGTATGTATTAAAGAAGGTAGTTGTGAAGCCCTGCTCAAAAGTCTTTTAACCAATCAGGTTTTTTTTTTTAGTCTGACACATTGATTCAGATTTTTTTTTCGGTCTAACTTTTTTCTTATTATTTAAACATAGGCTATAGTCTGCAAAAAGAAGACAATAGCCTACTTTGCAGAGATATCTAAAATAAAGATTATGGTCAGAAGCTGACCTTCGGATTCGGAAACGGCGCAGAAAAAAAAAAGGTTGGCTCATGTTTTTAAGACGGATTGGTCCAACTCCAATAGAGTTAAGATCAAGATTGAATAAGAAAAATAATTTAAGTGTTTTAATGTTTCCTTTTTTTATGGAATCTACCATTTTGTGTCAGCTTTCACTCCAAATACACAGAGCTGCAACCTTGAGGGAGTGGAGTTTGTCAGCAGAGATGAAGACTACAGCACTGCGGGAGTAGCGTCAGTCGCCGCCTAAAAGAAGTTGACTTTTCTTCACTTCAAATGAAGAGGGTATATTTTTATGTGTCTGATATCTAGAGGTAACTCAGACTTTCAGCTGTTTCTGGGGGTGACACCTGTCCACCTTGAAGGCGTGGGGAGGTCGGTTCGGACGGATGGAACTCGTTGGTGCCGGTCTTGTGCGAAATTCTGTTTCCCCATGAAAATCTGTTCCCCCTGTGTCGGGAGCGCGCATTGCAGCCAGAGAGGCGGATCTGACCATTCTGAAGACGCTCCTGATCATTTTTCGGTAAAAACAGCTCATATATGTTGTTTCCCATCTCAACTTTGTAACATCCATTTTAATCGGTTGCTCTTTTTAAAAATTGTTAAAATAAATACATTAACGAGGTCCTCTTACGCTGTTTTGTGTTGTTTTTTTAAACGCCAAGAGAATCGGTATTTCTCCAACTTTTGTCCCTTCAGCCTGACAGAAATAAACGTCAGTCACCGAACACAACAACACGTAGTGTATTTTTAATTTTTCATTGCTGATATAAGAGGATGGAAACTGGCTGATAGCAGGGCACACAAATTAAGACGTCCTGCGAAGATCAGAGAAGAATTTCTGGTTAATCACCTTCTAATGTAAAATATGACAGATTACTGGATTAAGGACATTTATAGTATACCACATCACACATATCAATTTTAGAGAAATTGGAAACAGTTGCTCTTTATTTCCCAAAGATATGGGAGGAGGAGAGGAGAGAATGGATGTTTCAGCTGCCTGAAATAATCTGTTCCCCCTCCATAACAGGGGAAGAAATTAATTTACCTGCAAGTCTTTAACTGTGCTTATTCCCCTCACCACCAAGAACAAATCCTGTGGATTTGGTCATATTTACTCTTTATTTGCAAAAATTAAAGGGGGGAACAGATTATTTCAGCTGCCTGAAATAATCTGTTCCCCCTCCATAACAGGGGAAGAAATTGATTTACCTGCAAGTCTTTAACTGTGCTTATTCCCCTCACCACCAAGAACAAATCCTGCGGATTTGGTCATATTTACTCTTTATTTGCAAAAATTAAAGGGGGGAAACAGATTATTTCAGCTGCCTGAAATATTCTGTTCCCCCTCTGCTCCAGCACCACCTCCCTCTGATTCCATCATCTCCCTCTGTTCCAGCACCACCTCCCTCTACTCCATCATCTCCCTCTGTTCCAGCACCACCTCCCTCTACTCCATCATCTCCCTCTGCTCCAGCACCACCTCCCTCTGCTCCAGCACCATCTCCCTCTGCCCCATCATCTCCCTCTGCTCCAGCACCACCTCCCTCTGCCCCATCATCTCCCTCTGCTCCAGCACCACCTCCCTCTGCTCCATCATCTCCCTCTGCTCCAGCACCACCTCCCTCTGATTCCATCATCTCCCTCTGGTCCAGGATTATCTCCCTCTGCTCCAGCACCACCTCCCTCTGCCCCATCATCTCCCTCTGCTCCAGCACTACCTCCCTCTGCCCCATCATCTCCCTCTGCTCCAGCACCACCTCCCTCTACTCCATCATCTCCCTCTGTTCCAGCACCACCTCCCTCTACTCCATCATCTCCCTCTGCTCCAGCACCACCTCCCTCTGCCCCATCATCTCCCTCTGCTCCAGCACCACCTGATACGCAGAGAAAATCCCTAGCAGAGAAAATCCCTAGCAGAGAAATGTAAATTTTCTTTTAAATTCTTATAAATATATATCAAAGCAACCCTGTCTCTCGTCCTTAGACAGCTGGAGATAGGCCCCAGCACCCCTCACGACCCTGCTTGGGATAAGCGTGACATAAAATGGATGGATGTATCAAAGCACATAAATTTCACTTTGTATTATCATACATATGTGTCTGTTAAAAATGTATTTGTATGGATATGCAATTTAGTCTTTTTTTTAATGAAGAATAATTTCAGTGAGTCAGTAAAAAACAGTTCTAGCTTTATTATTATTGCTATGTTCAAAGTAGCTGAATGAATCTGTGAAGTTAATAATTTCTCATTCTCCAATCATATGAATTGCATATCGTTGGATAACATATGTAATATGTTGTAAAATTTAATGAAATAGGTGCCATGATAATGAAAATAATCTTTAACTTTTGTTTCTTTTTCCACTTCTCCTCAACCCCTCCTCCTCATCAGATGTCCATGAAGCTTTTTCTGGAAAAAACGTCTTTGTCCTTCTGTCAAAAGTGAATGCATATAAGTTGTTTTACTCTGACATTTACAAAATTGGTCCTGGCATGGACCTGGAGAGTCAGGTAGGTACAATGACCATATTGTTTAGGAATATCACAGCAGTTAAAGTATATAACTAATATTTTTTCTTGTAACACATTGCAGTCTATTAATGCATTTTTGGCTGTCATCGTGAATGATTACAACAGACAGAACACAGGACAGGCGGCGTTCATAGATTCCTTTGCAATGACAGCAATGTGGCAGGGAAATAGTCCTAGATTAAAGGTATACAGTATCTTACACATTTCATTATGTCCAGTTGACTGTATATGTATTACTCCTCCATGTGTTAGTAATATATTTGGAATCAATAAAAAAAATGTTTATGGTTATATCCTTTTAACAATTTTTTTCTATCACCTGTGTGTTACAAAACATGCTTTGTTCTTGATTAATAAAAATGTTTAATTCATTTTTTATCATTCACAGATGAACCCAATGAATTATGAAATTATTCTGGGAATAAACAATCAACACCACCACAGGACTTTAGTGGTAATACATTTTTTTTTTTACTTTAATAACATTAATTAGCATACTTATCTCATAAACAAAAACCACATAAATAATGTCAAATGCACGTTCTAGGTGATCTATCCACAAAAAAAAAAAGTCTTTGTTCTTGGATCCACTGGGGGAATCAAAACAAGAAATCAAGAAATGCTTGCAAATCACAAGGTAGGGTTAAAAATGAAACTTTTAATGAAGAATGAAAGTCATATAAAATTGTTCTTATTAATGTATCTATACTTACAGGGCATTTATGAGGAAGAAGGGGTGCAATGTCTCACGTTGGACATGTGACACTGTCAATCATCCAAAACAACAGGATAGCACATCATGTGGTGCATTTGCACCAAAGGTGCATACATATTGTCACACAGTGTATGACTTCAGGATTTTGATATATATTTTTACACATGCACAGGGAATACTTTATTTGTAACTTAAATTTAAATCCATTAAATGAAGCTGTACCTCTCAGTTTGCAGAAATGATCCTAGCAAAAGAGGTTGTGGATTTTCCTGTTTCCACTGAGGCAGTCTACAGCATGAGGTTTGAAATTGCTGTGAGACTTATCCTTAACAGTGGTGAGGATAACATTCATATTCTTATTTTGAGTGTTAATGACAATTGCTATCACAATTACCATTATTTGTATGTTTCACTGAAACATCTATACTTAGCCCAAAATTAATACATTAACAAGGAATCTGAAAACATTTATTTATGGACATTGTTTGTACTGGGATAATCATGTGTGTTTGTGTGTGTATGTTTTAATAATGTTGTTATTACCAGATGACCTAAAAGACTTGTGTCACTTCTGTGGAGAGATAGAAAGTGACACGGACGTGAACTGGGGAAGAACTTTTTTAGAATTTTTAAAAGATTTAGTATAAGTTAAATGAAGAGGACAAGTTTTATCAAATTGTATCTTGCATAATGAAGCTTTGATAGGATCCTCCAGCAATTGGAATATAAGTGAATCTGAAATTATTGATTGCGTAGTGTAATCGCAAAGACATATTTTTAAAATAAAACTTTACATTTTTGGTTTCTTTCCTAGATCCTCTGTGACATGTGCCTGAGGTGGTTCCATCAGGCGTGTGTGGCTAGCCCACCAACTGAAAAAAACTTTTACTGCTTTGCATGTTTGCCTTAGGTTCCTGAGTTTGCTGTGGTGTGCTGGTTTATGCATGTTGTTTAATGCTTCATAAATGACATTTTAAAAACTATGTTTGATATTTATTCTTCCAAGACTTTATTTTAACATAGTTATGGAAAGATTTAAATTTCAAGGCCTCTTGCCTTTGTCAAATGAAGAGCAGATGTTTTTGAATCAAAGTTAAGGACTTGCTGGTAATTTTTTCCCCCCATGTTATTGGGAGAATGGATTATATCAGGCAGCTAAAACAGCTGAAATAATCTGTTCCCCCCCTTTAATTTTTGCAAATAAAGAGTAAATATGACCAAATCCACAGGATTTGTTCTTGGTGGTGAGGGGAATAAGCACAGTTAAAGACTTGCAGGTAAATCAATCTCTTCCCCTGTTATGGAGGGGGAACAGATTATTTCAGGCAGCTGAAATATATGGTTCCCCCCCTTTAATTTTTGCAAATAAAGAGTAAATATGACCAAATTCGCAGGATTTGTTCTTGGTGGTGAGGGGAATAAGCACAGTTAAAGACTTGCAGGTAAATTAATTTCTTCCCCCGTTATGGAGGGGGGACAGAATATTTCAGGCAGCTGAAATAATCTGTTCCCCCCTTTAATTTTTGCAAATAAAGAGTAAATATGACCAAATTCGCAGGATTTGTTCTTGGTGGTGAGGGGAATAAGCACAGTTAAAGACTTGCAGGTAAATTAATTTCTTCCCCTGTTATGGAGGGGGAACAGATTATTTCAGGCAGCTGAAATATATGGTTCCCCCCCTTTAATTTTTTCAAATAAAGAGTAAATATGACCAAATCCGCAGGATTTGTTCTTGGTGGTGAGGGGAATAAGCACAGTTAAAGACTTGCAGGTAAATCAATCTCTTCCCCTGTTATGGAGGGGGAACAGATTATTTCAGGCAGCTGAAATAATCTGTTCCCCCCCTTTAATTTTTGCAAATAAAGAGTAAATATGACCAAATCCACAGGATTTGTTCTTGGTGGTGAGGGGAATAAGCACAGTTAAAGACTTGCAGGTAAATTAATTTCTTCCCCTGTTGGGGGAACAGATTATTTCAGGCAGCTGAAATATATGGTTCCCCCCCTTTAATTTTTGCAAATAAAGAGTAAATATGACCAAATCCGCAGGATTTGTTCTTGGTGGTGAGGGGAATAAGCACAGTTAAAGACTTGCAGGTAAATCAATTTCTTCCCCTGATATGGAGGGGGAACAGAATATTTCAGGCAGCTGAAATAATCTGTTCCCCCCGCTTTAATTTTTGCAAATAAAGAGTAAATATGACCAAATCCGCAGGATTTGTTCTTGGTGGTGAGGGGAATAAGCACAGTTAAAGACTTGCAGGTAAATCAATTTCTTCCCCTGTTATGGAGGGGGAACAGAATATTTCAGGCAGCTGAAATAATCTGTTCCCCCCTTTAATTTTTGCAAATAAAGAGTAAATATGACCAAATCCGCAGGATTTGTTCTTGGTGGTGAGGGGAATAAGCACAGTTAAAGACTTGCAGGTAAATCAATTTCTTCCCCTGATATGGAGGGGGAGCAGATTATTTCAGGCAGCTGAAATAATCTGTTCCCCCCGCTTTAATTTTTGCAAATAACCAGTAAATATGACCAAATCCGCAGGATTTGTTCTTGGTGGTGAGGGGAATAAGCACAGTTAAAGACTTGCAGGTAAATCAATTTCTTCCCCTGATATGGAGGGGGAGCAGATTATTTCAGGCAGCTGAAATAATCTGTTCCCCCCGCTTTAATTTTTGCAAATAACCAGTAAATATGACCAAATCCACAGGATTTGTTCTCGGTGGTGAGGGGAATAAGCACAGTTAAAGACTTGCAGGTAAATTAATTTCTTCCCCTGATATGGAGGGGGAGCAGATTATTTCAGGCAGCTGAAACATCCATTCTCTCCTCTCCTCCTCCCATATCTTTGGGAAACAAAGAGCAGCTGTTTCCAATTTCTCTAAAATTGATATGTGTGATGTGATATACTATAAATGTCCTTAATCCAGTAATCTGTCATATTTTACATTAGAAGGTGATTAACCAGAAATTCTTCTCTGATCTTCGCAGGACGTCTTAATTTGTGTGCCCTGCTATCAGCCAGTTTCCATCCTCTTATATCAGCAATGAAAAATTAAAAATACACTACGTGTTGTTGTGTTCGGTGACTGACGTTTATTTCTGTCAGGCTGAAGGGACAAAAGTTGGAGAAATACCGATTCTCTTGGCATTTAAAAAAACAACACAAAACAGCGTAAGAGGACCTCGTTAATGTATTTATTTTACAATTTTTTTAAAAAGAGCAACCGATTAAAATGGATGTTACAAAGTTGAGATGGGAAACAACATATATGAGCTGTTTTTACCGAAAAATGATCAGGAGCGTCTTCAGAATGGTCAGATCCGCCTCTCTGGCTGCAATGCGCGCTCCCGACACAGGGGGAACAGATTTTCATGGGGAAACAGAATTTCGCACAAGACCGGATCTCAGATACAACGCGGAGGCATCTTTTGCTGCATTCATGATGATCTGAGCGTCACCTCCTGGTGCTGATAGAGGCAACCCTCCTTTCTCTCTCTCTCCCTCTCCCTCTCTCTCGCTTTCCCCTTTCTTTCTTTCTCACCGGTTCCCCTCCCTGTCCGTGTTCCTCTTTTCTTTTCGCGGGTTCATCCCAGACTGCCCAGTCAGTCAGTCAGCTCCCCTTTTTTTTCCCGGCGCCGGGGAAGCTGGTAGCGATGGGGTGGCTCAATTTCAGCACCAAGGAGAGCGCCGGACTTTTGCTGCTTTGTGTGTATGGTAAGAGCGCGAGTGTGCCGGAATGTCGTGACTACTCTCTGCGGAGTGACAACGTGCACGCGCATGTAGCAACTGCATGTATGCGTGCCTCATGATGTGCACGTGCATTTGTTTTTTTGACATCCATGAGCTGGCATTTTATGTGTGGAAACTTTATAGTATTGCAACGTGATGTTCAGGTGATGAGCTGTTGCTCCTCTGATGCAGCAGATTTTATTTTTTTTTATGTTTCTATTCCAATGCTGACTTCACCCACTGATCAATCCTGCTTTGTGCTGATTCTGCTTTTTTTGTGTGACTTCTTGTGCGCATGAGTGTGTGCCAACCATTTGTTACTAGACAGACACCAACTCTTTTCTCCACGGGGTGTGTTTCTGCTGTTCATCAGGTGTACTGACGCTGTCCGTGGTGCTGGCGGAGCAGGAGGGAGAGAACCTCTCCGGGCTCTCAGACAACCCGGACAAAGCCATCTTCGCGGTCCGCGAAAACGGAACGACGTGCCTGATGGTGGAGTTTGCCGTCAAATTCCTCGTGCCATATGACGTGCTTGCGCTAAATGGGATAGACGTAAGGATTTCCCTCGCGTGCATTTAAATTCGCTTTTTTTAGCCCGATTTAAGGTTTTTCTCTGAACCCATCTTGATGTAAAACAACTCTGACAAATTGAAAACAATTAATACAAATATTTGTATTTATATAAAAAGCACTTCATAAATATATTTAAACTATAACAGCCTTTTGAATGAGTGCAGAAAATATGAACGAAAAAAAGGTTTATTTTCCTTCTTATACTGTGCAATGCAAATTATGAATAATAGAAACAATAAAATAATTGAAACAATAAAATAAGTTTATTAAAAATATATAGGCCTATTTAACGTAGTAGTTTGTAATCGGGTGCGCGACCTGTCTTTATTCTGATGCATTTTTCTTCCAGCTCATCACAGAGCAGGTATCCTTCACACTACCCCGTGGGGCAGAAATCCAGGGGAAATGTGGAAGCACAGAGTCAGAGATCCACATCTCCTGGAGGAACAACGCTTATATGCTCCGCATTTACTTCTCTAAGGTGCATCAACGGCAACAGAAACTGCCCCTTTCCACTCTTTATCATACAATTTTACAACGCTCCTTTATTTCATAACTAGAGATGAGAAAAGGTTGCTTTTATTTTTTATTTCTATTTATCCCGACTTGAACTTTTAGAGAGATCTTTTAATGTACCCGCTGAGTGTTCAGGCCAACCTTGACCATTGCATTCACAATTTGGCAATCATGGATCATTGAGCACATTGATTGGTGTGTTTTTGTCCAGGAGTTTCGTGAAAAGGGAATTGAGGTGTGGAAGATCAACAAAATCCAGTTCGTCTACGACACCTCGGAGACATCCCACTTCATCAGCGCATACAACCGTGAGTGTCCCTTTATAAGCAGCTCCTGCAACCCCCCCCTCCCCTCGGCTCTACTGCTGTGATCACAGATTGGTCGCATTTGTTCTGCAGTGGCCATCAGCTCTAGTTAAAGGCAAATGAAACGGAGGTTAACAAATTTATAAATATGTACATATATGTATTAAAAGGTTCTAAGAAAATATAAATCCTTAATAAAACTTTTGAACTTCAAGCCTAAATTTTTTATTTTATTAATGGATTATTTAGCTTTCATTTCTAACTTTATTAGTTTCAGGTATACTTTAAGCACTGTCCACATCAATGTGTTTATCAATATATATCAGTCTATCTTATTACCAGCATTTATCGTTTATGAGTATTTTTTTGTCTTCATCACAGGATGGTTTAAACAATATATTCACCCTGCCATTATATTTTCCAACTTCATTTCAAATTTCAACAGCATTTGAGAAGAAACGCCTTAAATAAAAAGATGTTTGCATCATCTGTGTCCTTAATGAACAAGTTCCATCTTTTGCTCTTTCTTCAGCTGGAAAGCACACAGCTAGCACCCACAAGCTCTCAGCCCTGGTGACCCCAGCCGGGCGCTCCTATGTATGCACAGCTCAGCAGACCGTCACCCTAATCTCCAGCGACCACCAGAAGGGCATCACAGTCTCCATGTACGACATCCAGATCCAACCCTTTGACATCGCTTCCGACTTCATCTTCAGCACACGTAAGAACAGCAGAAGATACTTTCTCATGCTGCAGCTCATGTTGTAGACAACAGATGATGATGGTAATGAGAAATCCTGGGGGGGTGAGCTGTACATCTCTTTTTGACGTCTAACTCTCAAAGGGGGGAGGGAAAGTTACTGCTGCAGTATGGGGAGCATGTAGGGTGAAATGAGAAAAAGAAAGAGCTGGGGAGGCACGAGAGACAAAATGGGCGCAGCGGGAGGAAGACGGGAAGGAAAGAGGTTGAGGTCATTAGGACTTTATGGTATCTGTGCCTTTGATGGAGCTTTTATTGGAACACTGCGTGCAATTCGTCGTCCAATCACCTTGGAGGAATCATGTGGCCTCAGCTGCAGTAAACTACACTGGGATAAGCTTCGCTGCCTTTCTCCTTGTGTGTATTACAGCTTTCCACAGGGAGAAACACTTTCAACTTTACGCTATACATACTGTACTCTATTCTCATCAGAGGTTAGGAGTCCTCCTTACTCCAAACAGCCGAGCAGTGCTTGAAAATCCACTGTAAAAAAAGAAAACAAGGCATTCTTCAGTATCTTGCAAAGATATTCATAGCCTTTGAATTCACAAACTTTAGTAATTTTCTTTTTAGATTTTATGTGCAGATCAACATAAAGCAGTGCATATTGGTTTGGTGGAGGGCTACAATGCATGGTTTTAACTTTATTCTCAAAACACAAATCTGGTAGCCATAAACTGTAAGGCAAGACAGGAAAGAATTAATCAAAGCAGCAATCAAGTTGCCTTTGCTAACTGGAGCAGCTGCTACGATCTGCAGAATTTTATTTAACAAAGCACATGAAATAACATCAGCTTAAAGTAACTTCAAGTTTCTGCATCGTTATAGCAAACTAGAAATTAAGATTGAATGGTACCAAAACCTGACTTCATGCTGTTAATCTACAGAAGCCAACAGAGCATCAGAAATCTAGATGTTGCGTTGCGTCCTCTGTACACTGCTTATAAGTCTTTTTTTCTCTCTGCAGCTTATAAGTGCATCACAGACCAGCGAGAACACCTAGAGGAAACCCTCCCCCTTATCCTGGGCCTTATTCTTGGTCTGATAATCATCATCACGCTCACCATCTACCACTTCCACCTCAAGCTGACAGCGAATCAGCCACAGCTCCCAAGAGATCGCTCTATGTACAAAAACATGTAGTCCTGCTTCAGCAGCACCTTCAACTTCCGGCAGAGCTCTCCTAATGACAGATCTGTCTCCTCTATGTCCTGGGCCTGTTACACCCCTGATGATAGTGTCCTACTACATCGGACAAAGTCCCTGATTTGAATATGTGATTTATTGAACTGTTTAATTAAGAGTTTTTTGGACATTGTGGGACACAGTAAGGGTGTATTTGGAGGGCATACCCATTCACATCTAATTAATATCACTGCAGGATTTATGCTCTGTGCCATATCTAGTCTCTAAAGTGAGTAGAATTTTTCAGGAAAATATTTTCCCCCCAAACTTTTCCCAAACTGGTTTCTAACTTGCACAACATTTTGATCCAACTTGTCTTTTAAATATTTCTAAACCTCCTGATCATTTAGCAGTTATTCTGCTCTCTCTATCTATCCCATAGTTGCTACTGGACTCCATTTGCACTTAAAAATGTTTTTCTTTTTTTAAAGATTCTCATCTCTGTGCTCATACATCCAGAATGCAGCCGTGGTGTTGACAGTGGACCGTCTTGTCGTGTACAGTGCAGTTTTGCTTTGTTATCAGACCCTCTCTCTGCCACAATGTAAGAAATAAATCAAAAGAAAGAAAAATATAAAAAGGCAGATACAGAAAAAAAAAAACCTTTATAACTTGAAAAGAAAGAAAGCAGATAGTACCTATGGGAATGTGGAGAGGTTAAAAAATATGTGTATATTATTTTTCAAGTGAAAGTCTATGCATAAACCTCTGCTGATGCAATCATGTGCAGTATTCTGTTCTGTTTGAAATAAATTGCTGGATACATCCTTAGCAAAGTAACGTTGTTACAGCATTTATCACACCACATTCACCACTCTACTCGAACTCTTAGTTATCACATTAAAATATATTTCAGTTACACACTGAAGAAAATCTAGAAATAACTAAACATTTCTTAAATTAAGTGAATTTACCCTTCATTTGAGTAGGTAAATAAGATGGTTTGCAAATAAATTGAGTAATTTCAGTCTTAAAATATGATAATTAGATAATATGCATTTGAAATAACATAATGCCATTGTTTTTTTTCTTATTTTAATTGTAATTTGTCTTATTCCATTGGCAAAATGTTTCTTTAACCTCCTCAATTCAATAACAAATGCGCTTATTTTAAAAAATGAAAAAAAATGACTTATTTAGATTTAGATTTTTTTTTCCAGTGCATACATTATTCTTTAAAAAAATATTAAATTTTTGCCACACTAACATTTCTCAATTAATGAATAATACTTTTAGAAAGCTGATTCCATATTCACCATCTAGACTTTACTGCTAGACATGTGGAATAACAGAGTAAATCCCTTAATTAGACCAATCTGAAATACAAAGATTAGGCAAACAGGAACGGATCATGTCCTAATCTCAGAAACAAGTTCATTAGTTTCTATCAGTCTATAAAGGACTACATATCACCTTCTAAGGATGTGGGACTGAAGAATCTTTATCCTGAAATAGAGAAATCAGTAAGGGTGTTCAAAAGTCAAAAGCTGTTCTGACCCGTTTCAAACCAAGAACATCTTGATTTCGAACTCGAAAGAATATACTGACAAATAGAACTGTAACCAACAAAAAAAAAAATATCAGAGGATACACTGCTTGGATAAAATATGGATTCTGCTTTTTCAAATTTGTTTCTTGAGAGAAAACATAAGCAAAGTCTTACTGAAAGCAAATAGCCTACGTATCATTACCTGCTAATATACTTTTAAAATCCCACAATGCCCACTGTGCTGCTTATATTCTGTAACACCAACCCGGACCCTATTTATGATCACACTACCATATTACACTTTGATTCAAAAACATTTAACTAATCTTCACTGTAGACATATAAATAACCCTAAAGAGCAGAGATCATTGTTCTCTTTCCCACAAACCTAAAGTTTAAATAATTTTTTTTCTCTTGGACAAAATTTATTTTGTTCCAAGAAGTATGGTTTGCTTTTCAGAAATTGGAAATGGTTTGCTTTTTTCAGAAATTGGAAGTGGGAATCCCTAATGGAGCAAAATGCTGAAGTTGGTGGGGTCTTTGATTACTCCCCTTTATTTCAACAGTTAATAAATGAATAAATAAAATAATAATTTTTAAAAGTATTATTTCAGCTTTACTTCTATGTGAAAAGAAGAATAGCAAGGTAACAAAGATGATAAAGGAACACGCCTTTTTATCCATCTTTAAAAATGACCTTATAAAACATTTATGAATCAGTTTTTTATGGAGACATTCAACGCTATAATAAACCCACTACATGGATATTAGATAATAAAGCAGCACTTTTGAACTACACCCACATTAAGGCAGAAAAAAAACAACACATCACCCCGGCAGTGCGTTTTAACTCACCTATGAATGGGTTAAACCCACAGGCAGCTCAGCCTTCTGAGGATCCCTTCGGTTTGCTGCAGAGGTGGTCAGAATGCAAGGCTGAGCCAATCAGATATACGGATGTAAATGTTTAAAGAGTAACAAAAAAAGCTGTTTTTTTTTCTTCTTTGATGCTGTTTAACATTACATTCCTTTTTCAGAATCTAAATTTTTTAGGTCAAAAATGATTTTCCATTTCTGTTTTTCAAACTCTCTGTCCCCTATATATTACTGGGAGGTTGACCTTATTACTATTAAGGAAAAGAAGTACGTATCGTTGCTCATCTGAAAACCCTTCCTCCTCTTCATCTTTATTACATAACATTTCCAAATTATAAAATAATATTTATAAACTATATAACAGTTCTGTATACTGGTATTTACAAAACAGACCAACTGTAAAGTGTCTCTATTAGCTATAAACATTTGGAGAATTAATAAGTCAAGTTTGTTCAGTACGGTTAGAGGTCATCAGTGAACACCAGTCTCAAAGGTTCTCGTTGGATTTAGGTTTGGACTTTGACATTATTTTTATATGCATATATGCTTTGATTTAATCTAAGCATTGTAGTTCTGGCTGTTTGTTTAGGAGAGTTGTCTTCCTGAGAGGAGAACAACTTTCACCCAGTCTTAAGTTTTAAGTTAGTACCCCCTAAGAGTTTTAGTTTACTTTTGATTTTTATGATTGCCAGCTTCTTCTTCCCTGCTGAAGAAAATCCTCCCCATAGCATGCTGCTGCAACAACCATGTTTCAGAATGGTAATGATGGATTGTGGACCACTTTTCTTTGCAAAAATGTTCTGTTATGGTAAAGAGAACTTTCTTTCTTTGTGCTTCTCTTTGCCAAATATGCCCAAAGGAGGTTTTAAGATTTTTGATATTTTCTGTTTAAATGTGATATCTTAGAAATAATCTATATTTACTAAATAATCTATTCTTTCTGACTGACGCAAACTTTAAATTAACTTTTTTGTTTTATTTATGTTCAGGAACATATTTAAAAATTGGTTAAAGTGATATTTTTAGTTGAATACGATCATTAATTTATCTGCTAATCAATCAAAAGGTTTATCCATTAGAAATGGATGGAATTTTTTTCAAGTTTTGCTTTGTGAAATGATCAGTTTATTTGTATCAAAAGTGTTTTATTTATATATTTTTTGTAAGGTAGATATGACATTTTCTTAAGGTAACATTTCTTTCCATACACATACTGTACTGCACTTTACTCGGCACAGGAGGATAAACGTGCAACCGATGTACAGAGGCTTTTGTCCCCGACATGACCATCACAGGCTTGAGCCCTGGCCTGTTGACCTTTGCTGCATGTCTTCCCACTCCCTTCAATATCATTTTCTATCAACAAAAAAATAAAGGCAACTAGTGCCTAAAAATAATGATTAATAAAATGATAGCCAAAAAAATTTACCTAAACTAATTTTTAAGTTATCTTAAGTTCCAGAACCCTTTGCATTAGCAGCCTATTTTTACTGTAATCCAAAGTGAAGAATACACAAAGCTCTATGTGTTGTGCCAGAGATCAGGAACCGTCTGATAGCTTTGGAGCAATTCCCGCAATCAATAGATGTCGTAGCAAGGCGAAAGTAGAGAGGCAGTTACTAGAGACGTAGAAACAGCAAGTAGATGGACGGCAGGTGAAGCCCTCGATATTTCTGCTGCAGGATGGTAATGAAACCTTTGACTGATCCCACCTTTGATATTAAGTTTAACTCGATTAACTTTTTTTAGAAAACTCATAAACTTCTGGCTATTCTTTGATTTTAACTTACTTTAACTTTTTTTTGTAGGGATTTTTTTTTATAGATTTCTAATATTTCAACAATCAATACTCTGTAGGTTAGAAGAAAATGTTTTTAATTTAGTGTGTCAGTGGTTTGTGCTTATTTTACCTTGTTAGGAAATTGATTGACCAAAACTAAATTAAACAATTTATTTTAAACTAAAATGTTCAATATTTTCCTCTTTAAGTCCTTAAGAATAGATCCCTGAAAAAAAAATATTTTTTATACATTTTGAGAGGTTATGTGGTTTATTTGTTTATGAGCAATAAATCTAGCTTTATCCTTAATAAACATTTAAATATGATGTTTTTAAACTTTCCTGTACCGAACCATGTAGACACATTTACCACCTCACTTTTCATGTTTTTATTCACTGGGTTTAGGCCTCCTTCACTAAGAGAGAAGCTCCATTCTTTGTCTGAACTAAATCAATATTCCATTACTGTGTTTCGGTGGGAAATGGCTTATAGGAAAGAAAGAGCAATAACATCATAAATTATAGTAACACCAATCCAGGGACGTGTCGTTTAGCTTTTCTCCTAAAAGGTGAAGTTGGGGTGGAGTTGTTTGAAATGAGAACTTTTGAATTTAGAGAACATGAAAGACTTAAAAAAACAAAGAGAAATTAAATTGATGATGATTAAACGAGGCTCCCTGAAGCAAACCGACAGTGTGCTGTTCACAACAAAAATCATATCTGCCTGATATGGACATCGAAAGAGAGAAAAGTAGAGATCTGAAAAGGCAATGAAATAAAAATCCATGCAACACATCTTGATGTTTTTTGTTTTTTTTATGAGTTTTTGTTTTTTTAATTGAAACCAGCTTCACTGATAACAAACATGCAGTATCACTGTACAAGCCAAAACCACAAATAAGTGTAACTCATTCAGATGTTGACCCAGTGTCGAGGATTAGCTGGTGGAGCACGCACGGACAACACGCAGGCACACGCTTTCAGACGCTTTACAAAGATAAACACGCTTCAAACCTTTTGCTCTTCGACAAACACAGACTCACGCTCACAGTCATATGTACATATCACAGTGATGGATGGTTAAAGAGGATGTAGCGAGGAGGATTACACTGTTCCCCTGCTCCGACTGGAGATGAGAATGGCAGAGCGTTTCAGTGACAGCAAGAGACTGAGCTGGAGTAATGAAAGATGTGAGTGGAAAATAAGATTTTCTTTTAAATCAGCACCCTGATCTCTGTGTGCTGGGGTGCCTCTATTTAAATAAACCCATTAGGACTCCTAAAATGAAAGGAATAAAAGGTGAGCAATACCCATTTTCTTTTTTTGCCAAATCCACTCAGTTTGTGCTACATTTAAATATATGGTCTTACAGTATCATAAAAGCAGGGTTTAGCGTCTTTACAAATAGGTCTGGGGTATTGCTTGGATGATAAAACAACTGATATTACTGTTTGCAAACGCGCAAGAAATGTGGAACAAAAAGTGCCCAAAAAATAAAGACAAAACAAGGCCACACTACAAATAAAAAATGTCACCCGAATAAATAAATAAATAAATACTTCAAAATGTCATAGAAAATTCTGACATTACCCTTTTTTCAAACATTTAATGGAAGTTCTGTCTACAAATGTGAGATCATAAATATATTAAGGACTTTTAGTAACAGTTAAGTTTAGCTAGATTTATTTTTGGAATATCTTTTATATCTTTAAGCAAAAACTGGATTATAAACAGTAGGAAAGATCTCTGCAGAAATTCTATTTAATACTGCTCATATCACAATAGTTACGACACAATAAAATACTGCAAATTATCAAAACTGTACAGAAAATGTTACAAGTTTTCTCTAAAATACATTTTTCACGTTTGACTTGTGTGTGAAAAGAGAAAAGCGAGTGACCTTGTCTGCGTCCGAGCTGCTGGGACACAGACTGTCCCTCTAAATGATGGACCAATGACGGTCAAAAGCCTCTCTCCTCACGCTGATTGTTTTGCCCTCTGTTTCTCTGCTTTGAAGCTTTGGGGTCACATAGGTCCTTCCGCCTCACCAGCAACTCAGCACACTCTTCTGAAGCAGTGGAAGGCTGATGGCTACTACTAGTCTTCGTGCAGTTGAAGACTCTGAGTCTAGGAAGAAAGAAGAGTGCAGCCTGCAAACCAGCTCACGGTTCAGCGGAATGTCCAGATAGCTCCTCTGTACCCTCATTTTCTCCTCTTAACTGTAGACTATTTTTTTCTTCTTTTTTACTGTGTGCATGTGTTTTTAAAACATACTTCTTAAATATTCCTCCATCTAATCTACGTTACGGTTACAGGTGTTAGTGGCACACCACCACGCAGCAGGTTGGTTTCACTGGGTGAGGGCGGTGCCACCCTTAAGGGGTGAGTAAGCGTGTGTTTTTAGTGTGGAAGAGCACAAGATTAGGCCAGGAGGTCAACGATGGCGGTAGTGTCTCATGAGGGGGACGATGCAGGATGGGGGTCCAGATAACTTGAGAAATGGGTGCTGGATAAGCTCCTGGGCAGTGGCTCTTTGTGATGGCTCCCTCACCAGCATCATATCCAGGAAGGAGCGCAGCACAGTCGATACCTGGAAGATGTACAGACTTTAGTTCATTCTATGCTTTTTAATAAGACATGAAATAAACTTTAATGAACTCAAAAAGTAAGGAAACAAACATCCTACTAGAAAACATTTATTGAACACAATAAGTTATTTGGATTGTTCAGCGCAGAAATGTGGAGTCAATAAAAAGGAAAACAACAGAGGCCTGCATTTAATTAAGAAAAAAAAAATTTAAGAAAAAAATCTAAATTATACCTACCAACTAAAGATTTTGGGGAAACTTTCGATCGCATCCTATGCACTTGAGATATGGCGGACACTGATATTGCAACAAGGACTGCAATCGTGAAAATTATGTGTACTGAAAACATTTTCGTTTTGCCTTTTTCCTGTTTAAATAATATTATTCTGTCATAACTGTACACATCTCAAGGTTTACTGCCAGAAAAGTCGCTAAGTTGCTTTTCTGAAGCTAAAAAAACCTGAAATGTTGCCAAATGTTATCACTGACTGATAAGCTAATTAACATACTTTTGAGTGATCATGTTAAAACTACATCCAAGTGTTTGTGGTTGCTTTCAGTTTGCTACGAAGTTACTACCAACCTTTTTTGGATAAAAAGCATTTTGTGCCAATAAACATTTTGGGGTAATTAGCATCTGCTGTTAGCATGCCACAACTGTTTTCTGAATCCTGTCAACTTTGTAACTTTGTTTGAGGAGATCGCCTTGTCTCATTGACACTTTTCATGTTTTTGTTGTTGTTTTTTTTTTATAATTCTTGCATAATATCTTTAAAATGTCACTAAATAATGTTGAGTCTAAAGGTGTGACAACTTCATTCTGCTTCCTGAATCTTCTAAGATTCTTGTATCTTAACTTTGATACACTGATAGGGCGGCTACGATTAGCCAGGGTGAGCAGATCTGCACAGATTGTTTTTCGCTTCTGTCTCTGTGCTATTAACAAATTCAAACAATTTCCCACATTTGACATGGACAGATTATGAAAAGTTAATAAAAAACACTGGTGCATTCTGTAAAGCAAAGCCCAACTTAACGAGTCTGTGCAGCATCTCAAACCAGAACAGACAGAGAATGTTGATTTGCATATATTAAAAACATAATGATATCTACCTTATCTAAAAAGGGAAAAAAAGCATTGAACGCTGTGGGATGGTTTATATGCTGACTGAGAAAGATAGGTGGTTCTCAGGAGGAGATCTGGTAAGTTTATTGATTTATTTATTTTTTTTCATAAAAAGGTGAGAGATTTAACGCGCTTACCTGCTCTGTCTGCCCTTCGTTATTTTTTTTTTTTTTGTGAGGCTCAAAGAGGATCACTATTTTACTATATGCGTTTTTTCTCCTCCTGAAGTTATTTTTTTTTTAGATTGATAAACTGCGTTTTCTGTCCCTCTGTTTTTGCAAGGCTCAAAGAGGATCACTACTTTATCTGTTTTCTGTCCTCCTGAATTCCTATTATGGTGAAAGTATTATATTCTTTTAATGTTTCATTGATAATTTTTTTTAATGGGTCTGTCCTGTTTGCTATATACAGGTGACTCCAAAATTGACTGTTTTCCTGTGTGATTAACAGATTTTATTCAGTATTTTCCCCCAAAGCGGATGAGTTTTTACTTTATAACCGTGTCTTTCTTCCTGTCAGACCCATGAAACTGCCGCAGATTTTCTGAATAGTCCAGCTAAAACAGACCTGGGGCCTATCTCAATTGGACCTATGCAGCCCCCTTGCGTAAAATCCTGTCCGGTGTGATCATCACCGTTGACTTTCAATAAGCGCTAAATGCCACAACCTCTTCCGACACAATTTTCTGTCGCAATGGACGCAAAATCGAATCGGTGTGTTGTGTTATTTCCATTACCTTGTGAGACTCCTTTAGCCGTGGGGGAAGGTTGTCTCGTATCCTCCTCATAGCTTGCAGAGGAGGCTCATTAAAGTAAGGGGGCTCTCCATCAACCATTTCAATCACCATAATGCCTAAAGACCAGATGTCCACCTATACACACAACAAGAACAAAGTATTATGTCTCCAAGAACCCTCTAAAGGGATACAGTAACATGGCGGCATATGTTCTCACCTCAGTCCCGTACGGTATTCTCGATATGACCTCCGGAGCCATCCAGTAGGGAGTTCCCACTAGAGATTTCCTCTTAGGCACCTCTTTGGAAACTTGGGCGCAAAAGCCAAAATCTGACAGCTTGATCTGTAAGGCACAGAGAACAGCAATCAGGAAGGGCAGGAAATATATTAGATCAGAATAGTCCAGACCCCATGTGATGAAGAGCTTCCACACAAGACACTAATCTCTCCTATTAGCAGTTAATTATGACTCAGTTCATCGTGTCTTATCAAGTAGTTAGGAGGCATTATGCAGGATTTAATTACTGGGGCACAAGTTGTGTCTCATGAATGAATGCCTTTCTCACACTCCCTGTATACAAGTGACAAACAACATCAATAAGGAAAGTCAGAGAGAGCACTATAGTCAATAAAAGGAAATAAATTTAAAGAGAAAAACTGTTTGATGGCCTAAAAAGAGGACTGTGAATGAAGAAAATGAATAATAAGAAATCGTACCTATAAGTGTATCAAATCCACTTACTCTGCCATCGCTGGTCAGGAGAATGGAGTCGCTCTTTATGTCTCGATGGATGACTCCCTGTGTGTGCAGGTAGGACAAAGCGCGCAGCACCGACAGACACACTGTTGCAATCTGCTCCTCGTTCATCCTGTAGAGACATGCACAGAAGTGGTAAGAAGCATGAAGGACCACCACCTTACCCCTCCCCCACCAATTGCTACTCAATGGAAATTAACAGCCTAAGTCTACCACACTACCCTGGCCTGGAACACAATGGTTTATAAGTGATATTTATATTTCAGGTAATTAAAAGTGCACCCATCACTCTGAACAAGATAATTCTATTTTAAAACTAACAGCATTCCTCTTAAGGGGGTTACTGCAGGCTGGTTACCTTAGCTAATAGCCTGAGCAATTAGCCGGCTTTAGCCTGTTATAATTGTTTCATTCAATAAAGGGGTAGAACTTCTAATCACATCATCTGGGCAGATAGCTATTGCATGACTAGTAAGTTTAAGACTTCTCATGATTTCTCCAAAGTTTCTATACTGGGGTTTCTATTGAAGTAATGCTCTTGCTGGCAGGGTAGTACGCAGTGTTGGGCCTCACCACCCCCAACCAACATGCCAGCACCCAGAATACTACAACTACAGAATTTGATAACACATACTGTTTCCCATGTTACATTATGTTCAGTTGCAATAGGCCAGTCAAGTTTGTTAATAACTTTTTCAAATGAATATGTTCAGTTTACCTTAGTAAAATATATATTTTTTGTTTAATCTTAATTGATGCAATTGGGTCGGACAAAAATAAAAAAAGTCAGAGTACACGTATCCATATACTTTTACACAAGAAAACTGTATTTTATTATGGGAGAAATATAAAACACAAACCAACTTTAAAACAGGGAAACAAATGAAGTAAAATATAGGAAGTAGAAAAATTTGAGAGTATGATGCTGAAATAGTACTAAACCTACAAAGTTCTGTTAGAATAGGACTTATTGTTTGTTTTATTTTTACATATTGTATTTGCTTGACGCAAACCGCATTATAACCAAAAATCCACAAAGACTGCAGAACTTCTACCTTTTATTTTCCCATTTCATATTTCAAACCAGTCACTAATAGAATATATTTTCAGTCCTGAAACAACAGATGCCTTTTTCTGTTTTAGAGGCAGGAAAGTCAATCAATTTTAAAGGTTTATAAAAACTCAAGCTTCACCAAATAAAAAGATGTGGTTTAGAGATAGAGTTTGTTAAACATCCCCCTCTAGCCTACAGTGGCTGTAATGTGCAAGCAGGCACGAGGGTCCCATATGGAGAGGCAGGGCGATGTAGTTCATCTGACTGAGCCCACACAGCCTGACTGAACATTAACATCCAGACCCAGCTGCTCAGACCATCCTGTGCATTTAAGAGTGAACATGCACTGATCTCTCTTTATCTAAATATGTTGGAAAAATCTGTAAAAGAACATGCAAATATGTTGCATCTGGATTTTTGTGCATAGAAATGTGCATGCATATGTAGCAAATTATTAGGCATCAAATGCAAACTCTTCTCCTTTCGTGGAAGGATTTAATAAAAAAAAATTAGTTATAATGTGACAAACAGCCCTAAGGCTAAAACACGCACAAACTTTCCAGATTTCAGCAGATTTCCATTTCCTCCCCTAATTTTTTACTACCTTATTTTAATCACTCATGTATGCTTTTCCAATCACGGATGTTTAATGGGCTTTCAGAAATAGGGGGGGGGGGGGGGGGGGGGGGGGGACTCAAAACAAGAGCATCTGGCTTGTCAGGATTGAAAGAAGTATGCAAAAACAACCCCACTCAGCAACATCCCCTCACTCCCCCAACATATACATTACCTCTTTAGTGTACATGCTTAGGTGAATGATGGGAAAACATGTTCACTGAAAAAGGAAATCATTTGAAAATGCGGAAAAAGACCCTAATGAGCCTGGAAAGGTTATGGACGGAAGGAGAATAACACACATACACATATATTAAAGAAAGCAGGCATTCATATACATATGAAAATGAAACTCTCATTAAAGAACTTTAATTGAAATCTTTACTGGATTTCATATCATTGTGCCACTGGTAATGCATCTATATGTGAGTAAATGGAAAACACTTGATAAGGGGAAAATATGAGACATGTTGCTGTTATTAAAGCAACAAATTGCTTTACAGAAATGCTTCTGAGACTTCAGATAGACTATTCGTGGCATTAATTACTTAGAACAACAGGAACTTCTTTGCTATGACTTTAATATAAACTCATAGTTTTTATCAGACTCCATGAGGACCAGTCAGAACATTAAACCTCAGAAGCATATATAAGACTTTCTTCTTTTTTATCAGATTTATTTGTTCTGGACATTAAGAAAAACAAAAAAACAAACAACCAAACAAAGCTTGGAGCGAGTGGGGTAATGTGCATCAAATTACATCCTATTTATAAAGCTCTATGCAGTATTTCCACAATCATTACTGTGTGCTTAAACTTTCTTTTTACACACAAACAGCCAAACATCTGCGTGGGAGAGCGCTCAAAGTCCTTCACGGCGAAGCGGCGCTCGGCCTCAACAAAGCGTGTTATTAGCAGCCGACACCGTGCCACGTTAATGCTGACACTCAATGCAAATGACTGTAATTATACGGCGAGCGCAGAGTAAGCCCGCAACAATGAGAAAGGCCTCTTGGAGAAGCAACTCCACCACATCAACACTGTTTGGAAAGTTAGTGAAGACAAAAAAAATTGTCTGAACCTGATCTGGATTACATTTATCCATCTTTAGTGTCTTATAGCCCAGTGCTCCTGTTCTTTAAATTAAATTCATAAACTTGTCCAGGCATCTATAGTTTAGCACAGATGAAATGTATGGACCTAAAACTATAGCATAAACTGCCTTAAGTCAGCCGATTAACCAATTATTAAAAGTTAGTCAACGTTTAGCTGGATGTCTTAGGGCCCCTAGACATAAGTTTTGCTCCTAATACTGGGGCAGCAGCAGATAATAATATTTCGTTATTTTTATTTTATTTTATTTTAAATTTTTGTATCCTCTCATGCTCTGGACAAACATTAATACACTCAAAGCCCCAAAATAGTCATAGCTTGGGCAGATTTCCATGTAAAATGATTTTTCATTTTAACTTAAAGTTAATTTCAGACAGGAAATCAGTCAGACTTCTTTAAAAAGTGACGAAACAAGATAATAGGAGTATAAATAATGTTACAGTCATTGGGATGAAATCTATGTCCTCCTTCTCATAATTACTGACCATCTATTATAAGTAAAAACCATTAAAATACTTTAGTGATTTCCCTGGTGATGAGTTCGAGCCCAATATTTAGCCCCCTCCACAGATTGTATATCAGATACATATCGGGACTCTGGCTCGGACATTTAGAAATTGTTAATGTCACTTTAAGTAAGAAGAAACATGTTGATAATATGTAGGACCTAAACCTTGTCCACTCATTTCAGCAAAATTCAATTCTGCAATTATTAAACAACTACTATAACAATTAATAATAATAATAATAATATTAATAATAATAATAAAATGAATAACAATAATAACTATTCTGATAAAAATAATTATTCCTGATGCTGCTGGCTCTACTAATAATAATTTATTATTAAAAATCTTCTGTATATAAGTACAGGCAAAATAAGGAGCCTTTATTTATATTAAGCCTCAAAGCAAAGAGAGAATCAGCAGTAACCTTTGTAATAAACCATCTGATAGGCTGGTTACCTGGTGTGAGTCACAATGTCGGTGAGCGCCCCGCCTTCCAGGAACTCCATGACCACCCATAGTTCATCTCCCACCAGGTAACTGTTGTACATGTCCACAACATTTTCATGATGATAGTCCCTCATGATCACCACCTTCAATGGAGAATTATACAAACGTTAAAAAAACAGCTTAATGAGATAAATAAAGCATTAGTCCAGATCTATCCATTTTAGTCTTTGTCAGGGTCACGGTGGGTGAGAGGCGGGAAACACCCTGGACAGGTTGCCAGTCTATCACAGGGCAACACAGCAACATATTCCCATTATCAGTTCGTATGAAATCGTACGAAAAGTTATGCACACTATTTTGTATGTTTTGGACGTTTTTCCTCAAAAAAACAGATCAGTGCGCATGCGCTGGCAGACAGACAAAAAAAGCAGATCCGCGGACAGACGTAAAACTGGGAAAAACAGTGCAAAAATTACTTCTTCATGTCTCTAACTACGTTGCTTGCTGTTTTATATCTTAGGCTTAGGGTTAGGGTCAGGGTTAATTGCATGTTAAATTCTATGTTATTGAATGGTGCGCATCTTACCATGCTATTGAATGGGAAGATGCGCATACGACGAAAAAAACGTCCAAAATGTACGAAATTACGGTGCATAACCTTTCATACGATTTCATACAGACTCATAATGAAAATACACTGAACATAGAGACACATAAAGACAGAAAAATATGCACACACACACCTGAGGACAATTCAGAGAAGCCAATTAACCTAACAGTCATGTTTTCTGGACTGTGGAACTGAGGGAGCCCGAGTACCAGGAGAGAACACATGCTGAAAAACTTGATACAGAAAGACCCCGGGCAAGGAATTGAACCCAGAGTCTTCTTGCTGCAAGGCAACAGGGTTTCCCACTGCACCAATGTGCAGCCCTCATTACTCCAAAAAAACTTATTCATATAATGTCAAAAACAATAGAACAAACATTTTTCTTATACATGTTTCACTTCTAGAAAAAAATAGATTTATGTTCAAGAAATTGCAGTCATGTACAAAAGAGGTCCAAATAGTATATCATCAAAAACGTCAACCTTCTTATTAAATCCATAGTGTCTAATTAGAGTTTTATGATTTATTAAGAATGAAAATGAATTATGCTCTAAGGAAGTAGTTTAGAAATGTATTATGTACAGTATACCTTGCAATGTATTGTTTAAAATTGAAGTTTTCCTTCTGAGGCACATTTTATGGAGGTTTAACCTTAATAGGATTAAATCAGAAATAATAGGATTACATGAACCAATTGGTTCCCAAGTGAACACCCACTGCATCAAATCTCTCAGAAACACAGGAAACATAGTCAGGAAGAGGTCCACTCCAACCATCATTTTAGAAACAGTTTGTCTGCAAATATGGCCATTTATATGTAGAAGAGAAGAAAAATGTCCACAGTTAGTCTAGAGTCAGCATACACAGCCCTGAAATAAATACTTGCTTAAGGGTTTCTGAGTAAACACTTGCTCAGTTTGAAAATTAATGCAATTACAGATGCAGAAATGTGTTAGTGATTTATGTAATTGCCTGTGCTATATTCCACAGAAATAGTAGTGAAAATCTCTTTTTTTATTAACTGAAAAGAGATTTATTCTTATGTATATTACACAGAGTAGCATGCTTAATGATGCTATTTAAAACAGCAACAGATCTGCTGCTGCCTATTTAAGCTGTCAACAATCTGTGACAAATAATAGCTGTGTAGGATCTCATTTCAATATATTAAATTCAACAGAAAAACAAACACTCATCTACATGAAGAGGTTGGTGTTCGTAGGGATCAAGGTGAATCTTAACATACTAGTTTCTTATTCCTCACCTCATTAAAGAGCAGCTCTCTCCTCTGCTGTTTCCTGAGGTCCATCTTCTTGACCGCCACCTGCTTGCCACTGTGCTTCTCGCTGGCGATGCAGACGATCCCAGTGGAGCCCTCTCCGATCTTAATGAAGTTGTCCAGGTATTCCCGAGGGTCGCCTGGTTGGAGCAAAAACCCTTTTTTGAATCCTATTCCAAAGAAATCTTAGTATCCTCCTCATTTGTTTCTATTCAGCCACTCTCACCTGGGTTGACCACCAGCTGAAGTGCAGCTCTGAACTGCTCGTGGGAGACTCTGGAGGGCTGGGTGTCAGAGCTTGAGCCCCATGAAGGAGGAGGATAAGCCCCAGGGGGTATGTAAGGAGATGAAGGCTGTGAATAGGCCCCCTGAATGAAAACAAGACTCTGTGAAATGCAAATCAAGAGAAACCATTTGCCTGTTATAATTTTTAAGCCAATTTTAAAATCAAATATATTGTAATGGTAAACTGACACTATCAAATCCTTCTTGTCTGTCCTTGTTTACCAGAAAATTATCTCTAGATTAAAAACATTATATTTGATCTGTATGCTGGGAGAAGATTGGGGCATACTGTACCTGAGGGGTGTACGGTGGGCTGGGCTGGGAGGGAGGATGGTGGTAAGGAGAGGGCTTGTAGTGGTGAAACATAGGAGGGTAAGGAAGGTGTGCTGGTGGGTAGCCAGGTGGTTTGATCTGGCTCTGAGGTAGCTTAAGAGGTCCTCGTAGGTAGGTGTCACCACCTGCGACTTGGGGACTTTCATCACGAGATGAACGCTCATAATCACCCTGGAAGAAAATGTGCACTTTTGATCATTTAAACTTAACACTACACATACAGATGAGAAGATAAATCAATGGTAGCATTCTTTAAATGATGTTCAACAAACTAATAACATGCTTATACCAGGATGAAATTCAGATCTGCACTTTAGCAAGAGAATAGCTCTCTGGGCAAGTGCCTCCTTTAACGTCTCAGCTTTATTCAAAAAAGTTTTAAAAAAATCCACTGGACTTTGCTTCCAAGTTTGAAGAAGTTTCGCTTCCCACCTAGGAAGCTTTTCCAATTTAAAATGTCAGGAATAGCGTTGAGTTTTTATACAGTAGCCCATCAAAGCCTTGTTTTTGTTTAGAAAACATGCAAATTGAAACAGAAACAGTTTCTGTTATGTTTAACCTTTAATTTTAATTTTAAAAACTTGTACAAAACAATAGTGACAAATTATTATATTTTAATAATGGGCTTGTGTGTATATCCCTTTTAAATGCCTCATACCAAAAAAAACAAACAAAACAAAAAAAAAAATCACTGGGCTGCATGAACACCAAAATTTCAATATGTAAAAGAAAGTGAAAATGTTTTACTTTTTTCTATCTGTTTCACACTTATAAACTACCGTTTTTTTGATCAATCTCTAAAACTTTATTCAAACCCACTAAAATGAGCAGCTATGGGGGAAAAAAGAGAAAATGCTTGATGGATAGGCATACAACATCAGAAATAATGAATATTGTAATAATAATAATAATAAGCTGATTTATCTTCTTGTCTTCACTAAGGTGATGTTATTTAAGGGCCAAATAACTCAAAGAGACTCCAAGGAAGTTAAGTGTGCATTGTCCTCTGAAATAGTATCTTTCTCATTGCAAGGAGAAAGTCATAAAAAGGAAACTATATAAAGTTAAATTTGCAGATTGCCCCAAGCCATGTAGGGAACTGGTCTGTTAGAGTAAAACTGTACATAATGGCTTCTGTATCAGACTAAACACATCTTCCCTCCCATTAAAAATGGTAGTGGAAGCATCATGCTGTGGGCCTGCTTTCGTTCAGCAAGAAAAGAGGGACCATTCAGTTTAAGGAAAGATGGATGAAGCAAAATACTGGCAAAATATATTTAACTACTCCAAAAAAGTGAATCAGGTCAGTTGTCAATTATTAAGCATTTTTTCCCAAGTAAATGTTAAATACCGGTATTTGGGAACTGAAAATAAAATGTTGACTTTAAGTGAACAACTTCCCTGCTTCACTTATTTTATGTAGGATGGGGGTTTAACCTTCCAGCACATATTAACTCTAAACATGCAGCCAGAACCACAGAAATGCTTCAAGTAAAATTATATTCATGTGTATCAGAACTGCCAAGTCAAATTTCACACCTAAATCTAATTAGGAATGTCTGGCAAGAGTTTAACATTTTGGAAACCCTCCTTCTCCTTACACTTTGGACTACTTTATAGTGATCTCTAAGATAAAATCCTAATAGGTTACAATGTCGTTTTTTTTAAAGGTGAAAACATGTAAAACAGGGAAGTGAATAATTTTCTAACTTGCTATATTTTCTTAAAGCTTGTGTTATGCATGTTCCTGAATAATTCTTAAGTTCTGCACTATATGGCAACTATGAAAAGATGTAACAGCATCATCTGTCAGAGCCCATGGATACACATTTTGTCTACAGGAACATAACCCTTGAACATCAGCCATCATCGTAATCGCTTATTCCTTAATGGGGTTGCGGGGTTCTGGAGCCTATCTCAGTAGTCCATTGGAGAGAAGCGGGGTAAACCCTGGATGCTCTGCCAGTCCATCGCAGGGCCTAATCCTTAAACAACCCATCATAAATATTTAAACTAGAATGATATTTATTTACCATTCTGATGTTTAACACACAATACTAGTATTTTTACTTCCATGCTTTAGACGAGGAGTGGCGGCCTGGTGGTTAAGGCATAGAGCTTGAAATCCAGAGGTTCTGAGTTTAAGCCCCACTCCCACAGACTGCCACTCTGGGTCCCTTAACCTCACGCTGCTTCCCGGGCGCCGCACAATGGCAGCCCAAGGGGATGGGTGAAATGCAGAGAGTTCATTTTGTTGCTCTGTACTTGTGACTGTGTAATAACAATAAAAAAAAAGCTGGGAAAAAAGGAAGAAAAGTTTTTAATCTAGCAGCCAACAAATCATTGTTTTTTTGAGTAGACTGTGAAATAAGCATCAGAAAATGTGATTAAAATGATCCATACAGTATATAATCCAGTAAAAGCAGTAGTATATTCTCTATACAGGAAGCCAATTGTTACTGACCTAACAATGACCAGGAATGGCCCTTTATTACACTTCCAAATCAGATGCAGGCATTGTTATGTTTTTGTTTCCAGATTTGTGAGAAAAGTGAGCAGAGATATTGAAACTCAACTAGGGCTATTTCCTTATAAAAACTTTCCCATATGTGAAATAAGGAAAAGTAATAATAAAATAAAAATTTTAGGTGGTTTAGAGACAGCAGCATTTCATTGCAAAACTAGTTCCATGTATTAGCTGTGATTTACATACTAGACGTATGCTGTGGATGGAAGCATAGAAAACTATTATAGATTTGTATAAATATGTGATGTTATTCTGTTTAAAGATGATCCATCTCTATAAAGACCTCTGAGCTTAAAATGATAGGAATTCATATATGTGGCAAAATGTTAAAGACTAATTTAACTGTGAAAAAATTAAGGTGCTGTGAGTCTCGGACTAAATTAGATTGCTTACACCACACCTTCCTGGAATGGTATTCAACCAGCTTTTTCCCCCATCATTATTATACTGAGAGTAAATTAAAAACCCTTTTATCTTCCCCTTTATTGGTTTCCTTCTGTGGGTGCACAGCTATTTGTCTTTACCCTGACACATACACACTCCCACATGTGTACAGACAGGGCAGGAGGAGGAGCTCTTATGTGTTGGGATGGTGTATAATTACATGGTGTGGGCTCTTTCAATCAATCAGCACTAGGCAGGTGTGTGAGGGGTAGCCCCGTTTCTTTTTTGCCCTCCTGAACCTCACCCATAGTCAGCCGGCGCTGCAAGCTGGCTGTCAGCCAAGGGTCTCCTGATCCATGTTGGTTAAACGCACATTAATCTGAGTTTGGCAGGGTAATCAACAACCTAACTCAACTGTGAAATTGAATTCCGCGCTGGAACATCGTCCGGCCAGTTTTATGCTAAGGCTGCAGAAAGCGAAAGTGCCGCAACATCAATTTGTCACCGAGAGCTGCCGCACTGAGCTCTCACACTCCGCACTAAACACAGAGGCAGAGAGGGGAGAGAAGACTCCATGCTGTCTACGATTACATCCCAAACAGCTCACAACAATAGCTGAGAAAGAGAAGGATTTACTTTGGGGGGGATGTGTGAGTGGGCTTAGGCAGAGAAAAAGCAAAGGGAAAAAAGTGACAGGAGGAAAAGAGGAGGTGGGCCATGCTACTCCTTTTCTTTTATTCTTTTTCTGCATGATTTTAAACAAAAGAAAAGGAGAAAATTAACCACATAAACCTACATTTAAAGCATTTCTTTGATATTAGCCCTGAATATCCCACCACCTTAAATAAGAAATGCTATAGCTACACTTTTATAATATACCTTCATCTATTTCATGACTACTATATAAAATATTGCTGTCAAAGGAATTGGGAACAATTACTTTGATAAATCTTAAGTTTGTTTTTCCATCTTTAGCTTCACAGCAAGTTTTGTGAATCTGTGCAAAAATAAAGCACCACTGCATGTCTACAAGGCGCCAAATGCAGAAAACTTGCAATGCAGCTACAAACAAAAAGAAAGGAGAAAAAAAATGACCTTCTCTTGCATCACTTTTCTGCTACTCTTGCATTCTCTCTTGCTGTTTTTCCTAGAGAGGCTATTTACTGAGGCGCACAGGTTAAATGGGTTTTCACTGCAGCACCCTGGGATCTACATCAGCAAACCCAGTTTTCCCTCTCAGCTGCCTGACTTACTGTGAGGAAGGAAGGAAAGTGTTGAGTTGTGATAAGGATAGTGAATAATGAGCTTAATGAGGCTTCGATAACTCTGAAGAGTGAAGTAAAGACATTTTATAAAAATGACCACTTTGCTCTTGCTGATCATCATATTTTACCCCCTGATGCTACTATTTGACTGTTTTCTAGGAGACATGCAGCTCCTCACGATATAAACAATGTATTAAAATAAAAGATGGTTATCTTAGGATTAAATAAAAAGATGCTTTGTGTAGGAGGACAGTCTAGTTGAAAGGTGATTATTGAATTTCTCAGCTCTTTGCTGCACTTTACAACACATTATTTGATCACTACTGGGAGTGTAAGAAATATGAAAAGACCATAATAAAGCTATTACAATTCCAGCCAGCTATGAAGGCATTTTACGAGGCAAAGCTGGTGTTACACCTCACATCTTACAACCAAAAACCTCTTCCAGTATGAATTTACGATAGATTTGTAAGTTTTATTCCAACACGTGAATATAAAGATATTTTTTTTAAAGTTAGATAAATTTTGTTTGTCTTTACACTTTAAAAGGCATAAAAAAATCACAATTTTCTTAGCAAAAAAAGAGAAACATGATGATTATTATTTATTTTTTTTGTTTTTCTGTGGCTTTTTTTTTTATCTTGCTCTTGGGAACCCAATAATCTCTATACTCTGGTCTTGTTTACTACCACACCCCTACTACACTTATTGACAGTGGGCAGTAAAGGGCCAACAGAGAAGTGGACACCTGTCATAGAAACTCTGCAATAAAAGGTAAGTAGGCATTTAATCTCTATTTGTTTATTCTCAACATGATATGAAGAGGATATAATTATCTAAATGTACAAAAATACATTCAACCTGAAGCTAGCATTTCTCTGTAAGATGCTACTCAGTAATATTTTTCACTTATGCGTGTTGTGCAGCATGATTGACATTTTTGCAATCTTAGAAACACATTTGGGCTTTTTTGTTCCTTTATTAGGTAAAATGTGATTTTTTTTTTACAGGTGTGTAGTTTAACTTGAAAAAAATTAACCGTACTGTAAAATCTACAAAGTTGAAATAAAATATTCCCAATTGCACAGAATTTTCTTCATTGTATACAATGGATCCCATCTAAGTCAATCTGACAAGCTGGATTAGTCTTACATCTACAGAAGAGGATTAGGGCAACTGAAAAAAAAAGTTAACTGATTTTAAAATTTAATTTCAGTTTAGTATGGGAAAAAAGTCAGAATTCTTACTTTTTTCTCAGAATTCTGACTTTAATCTCACAATTCTGACTTTTTTATTGTCAGAATTCAGTCAGAATTCTGAGAATAAAGTCAGAATTTTGAGAAAAAATCCAGAATTCGGAGATTAAAGTCAGAATTTTGAGAAAAAAAGTCAGAATTCTGAAAAAAAAAGTCTGAATTCTGACTTTTTTCCCTATACTAAACTGAAATACAATTTAAAAATCAGTTAACTTTTCTTTTTTTTTCCAGTGGCCCTAATCCTCCTCCGTATACATCCTATGAAAGCCTGTCTCTATATTTTACAATATTTTATATGTATTCCTGTTAATAGGCCTCTAGTTAATAGCTGTAGTTTTGAGGTTTCTTTTTGTTTCCTGTAGTGTTTAAAGTTTTCACTAGAGCAAAACACCTGCCAGACAAGGCTAGATGTGTTTTTTATCTATCTAATGCCTCTGAAGCTGTTTTCCAGTTTTAGATGTTTTGGTAAGAGGCTAGAATCATTTAGACTCAAGGTTGTTTCAATAATCCTTCCGTTTGTGGAAAACTGTCTACTTTGTGTGTGAGAATCCCTCCTTGTGATTCTTAAGTTATTAAAATCCTGTTTCTGTTCCCCATTGCAAGGAGAAATAAATGTAAATGCTGCTTGAATGAGGAACACCGATCTAAATTTCTTGTTAAATATAACAAGACTTATATAGACTTTTTCTCTGATACCATCTCGCTGGTAAGCTCAAATCTGTTTGATTATGTCATGAACTGAGAGAGTAATGTCCTACATTACTTTCCAATCAATTGACATCAACGGTAATTGATCTGTTTGCAGCGACACTAGCCGCTGCAGAGGAGTAATATTTTACGTTCGAGCTCTTCCCGTTAAGGGAAGAGTAGATTAAAGCTGACACCATCTATCAGGCCTAAGGACTACAGTTGAAGATCACAGTGAGTTTTGGAAAGTGAAAATGAGGAAAGGGTGGATTTTTATAAAGAACTAGAGGTGGGTGAGAGATGGAGCTAAATGTAGGGATACCTCTGTGTAATTTTCTATGAAATGCTTTGACAGGTCTGTCAGTGGGAGTCCTGAAACATGTTTCCTATAATTTGATCACTCTGCAGTTTAAAGCAAACACCATAAATCCCCTGTCAATGTTATTTGCATAGTTTACATTATTTTAATGAAAAGTTTCTAATTTTTGTCTTTAAATGCTTACCTTGCCTATTGTTTGTGAGTTGGCAAGACTCTCAGAGAGGCGAGGGTAGGTGTAGGAACTGTAAGGGTGGGCCTGAGGAGCGTTCCTCAAAGCCCCACTGGCTGCATAGGGAACATTTTGCTCCTGCAACCCAGATCCTGACCGAGAACGCTGCCTGATGGCTGGTGTCGGGCTCGTCTGGGTCACATAAGAACTCTTGGGTCTCTTGTCATATTCGTCCCGCAAGCCGCCGTAGCTCCACTCGCTGTCCGGGTAGTTGATCTGCTCGCTGTGAAGAGACGCACGAGAAGGCGTGCCAACTGAAGTGTCCCGGTAGTCCTGGCTGGACGAACCTCCAACTGACGCTCTGTAGTAACCGCTGGAGCCCACTCCGCTACCCACAGTGGAGGCCACCTCATCAGCCGAGCGCCCTTTGCTCTCCAAATAGGTGTGGTAGTCTGGCGGGAGCTTTCCATAGTCAGATTTTTGAGGCATGGCGTCGGGGTAGAAGGAGCTGCGTATAGGGTGAGAGTGGCCATTCTGCTTGGTGAACCGGTAATGCCTCCCAACAGCCCACTCTCCATCTATGGAGAAGCTTGGCTTTCCATGTTCCAGAGAAAAGTCCCTGCTGGAGGTATCCATGTCGCATGAGTAGCGGGAATAGTAGTGGTTGAATCCGTTCTCCTCCCGAGCAGCAAGATGACCACTGCCTAATGGTTTGGAACTGGTTCCAGCCTGCTGGACGCCTGGTGGGCTCTCTTTACGCAAGGAGTTGGAACGAGTTACTGAAATGTTGTCAAACTCTTCTAGTAGGCCATTAATGGAGGCATCTTTGGGTGGTCTGTTCCCTCGGACAATGGTCTAAAGGAAGAACAAAAGACATTTAAATTTAACAAAAAAAAAAAAACTACATTTGAAAAACCAATGGGGGCAACCATTGGACTCATATATTAACTTATACTTCATTCATTCCAAGCTGAAAAGTGGACAAAATGAATTGAAATTCTTGCGTAATCAATCTGCCAACATTTACAGGAGAGAATTTCAATTCATTTGAACAAGGGCTTTGTAACAAGTATGAAATTAATCATCACTTGCAGTAAATGAATGCTGGAATTTTCATCTCAAAGAATGGCAGGCACTAGTCTACGCAAACACTAGTTGTAAATATAAAAAAAGCATGCTAAGAAGTGTTCTAAAAACCAAAAACAGCCGCTGTGGATTAAGGGAGTTAATTCCTGCCCCATTTCCCTCACAACAGATTAGCTTCATTTTCAGTGGGCTGATCAGGTTACATTAATAGTCGTGAAGTTTCGTTTCATGCTTAAGAGTCAAATGAGCACACCAACATGCGCCTACAATAAAATGAGTAAGTCGGAGTGAGGGCAGAGAAAGGGCCGACATGCTTGCATCTGCTTCAAAGCGCATGAAGTGTGCTGCTTATCCCCTCCTACCTTGCTAAGCCTTTTTACAAGGCTGTGTCGTGAGTCATGTGGGGACCCAAAGGCTGCAGCCTTGCACCTATGAATGTAATCTGCCTGCATACATAGCGTGTGTGCCTGTACACAGTTTGTACAGTGTAGACACTGAGACTCAAACCTCCAGTTATGATCATCAACACGTACATTAACTCTTATCTCTCTAACCTTAAATAAAACAGTGGATTTAATGTGAAGGGAGGGTGAGCTGTGGGGATTTTCTCATTTATGAAATGTTACGTAATCTGGAGAGGGCTTTTGTGGACTGATCAGACAGAGCTACAGTAACTTCCAATGCAATCATACCCAAAACAAAAAAATCTATCACACATGAAAATCTAAAAAGGTTGGTTTGCATTTAGAAATTTGGCTCCACAGCCAAAAATTATCACATTTTTTACTGTTCTTTAAAGGTCCAGGAGATTTGTTGTAGAGCTTCAGAGAAAGACTAACGTCTCCTGCATAGTCAGGCGCTCTTAGCTTAGCAAACGTCCATGTGGACTCATAGCGGATGCCTGGAAAGCTCCAAATTTACAACCACGTATGTGTTGTCACAGTAAACTGGAAGGTGGCAAAAATTCTGCCCAGCACAGAAAAAAGTTTTCACATCAATCTGTTTTAGTGACACCAAGCTATGTTTGTGACAACAACACACTGCTATGAGGAAACAGTGATAATGACACACAGGGTCATCGCCACAGACTGCCCTGCACTGATAGGTGTGCAGTGAGTTTACGCCGCCTCTTTTTCTTTTGTTTTTTCAAAGCTACAAAGCAAATTTGGTCTTCTTCCTTGTCTAATGAAAAAAAAAATGACAGAAGGGAGAAGTAAATAGAAATTTGTCTTTTAAAGTTTAGGGAATATAATATATGAAATTTCAAACAGACAACTGTAGGACAGTATGTATTGAGCATAAGCCTAATATTCCTGACTGAAGCGTCCTGAAGGAATACATCTTAATTGTGGCGCTTTCAATTTCTACTTGAAAGTTGGAATTTTCAACCAGTTGAATAAGAGGCTGGGAAACAGCTTTGACGTCCGTAATTATGATGGCTGCGTCTTGTGTCCAAAGGAGTCAGGCTTTCTTACTTAAATTATTATTTTTAATAGCTCTTCTTTAATTAACGGACATTTAGATGCTGGCAAGCATCTAAAGTTGGTGATGGATGGAGATACAGAGTTGTCCTCATTAGAAACTACAAAAGAGTTCACTTTGGGGTAAGATGTTTGCTTTGTTGAAAGAATAATGTGTTAAAAACACTAACTTCTAAATACTTACAGCTGTAATTAGAGTAAGAAGTGGTTCTAAAATGTGCTGACTTATTGGGGGTCTAATACAAATCCAGACGGAACTTTTCAAATTTTCTCCCTTCAACCATTTCAATTTCCATTCGTCCCAACTACTTTTTCTTGGTCTGTTCCATGGGTCTTTAATAACATAAGGTGTTTAGATTTTCCGTAAAAATTCAAAAAATATCCACAGGACTTGGTTTTCAAGATTTGAAGACGTTTCGCCACCTCTCCAGGAAGCTTCCTCAATTCAAATGTCTGGATCCGCAGTGAGTTTGAGTCTTATATAGACAACGCCTTGTATCGCTTGGAAACATGCAATAGAAACCGATGAATGGGTCGTTGGTTCCATCGTTAGCCTGTAATATCTGAAACTGTCTATGATTCTAGGGGTCGGTCGTTAAAGGGGGGATTGTCATTAAGGGGGGGGTTGTCTCCTGTAATACTTGAAACCTGTCTATGATTGTTAAGGGTCGGTCGTTGGACAAAATGAAAACAGTAATATCAACTAAATATCAGTAAAAAGGAAACCCTCACATTTTCTTTCTTAATTGGCTGTGGCTAAGAATCAGAAATGTTGATGGCTTACAGCCTTTATTTGCCCATTTTTCCAGCAGTCTTCAGAACTCCTGGCTGACTCAGAATATTTCGTTTTATAAAAGAAAAAAAAAGGTTTTTGTTTTTTAGTGTACATGATATTCATTTTTTTATTGGGACTAGTTTTGTAGCCTAATATTAATTGTTGTAACCGCTGCATTCTATTGTGAATAAATTTTCAATGTTGTGCTCCAAGCACACGCGGACTAGTAAACAGCCAATCAGAGAGAGAGAAGGCGGAACTTAAGGCAGAACAACCAATGAGAGTAGAGTTAAACAGCGCAGCAGTTCCATGCGCTGCTACGTGAAAGGGACAGGAGAGAGCAGGCAGAGGAGCTGCGAGAGGAAAAGAAGCCACTGCTGCAACAACTACTGCTGTAAATGATAAACATGTTGCTCACATCCAATTATTGGTAGGGACAATTAGGTCGGTTCAAAATTTTGGTAGGGACATGTCCCTATGGTCCCTATGCAAACCTACGCCCATGTGGCAAACACACTCCCCTCCCCTCATCTCATTCAGACAGCATGACCCAACAAGTCATCTGCAGGTAGTAGAAACTGAAATATTACTCCTTGCTCACTGATTTGTGTCCATCAGGTTAACTGTGGCTCACCTTTACTGTTTCTAACTGACCTAAATGAAGTTAACTGAATTCTTTACACAAAGAAATATTTTAAAACATAATATGAAAAAAAAAATGGGAATCTATCTTAAGTAGTGGTTTGCATAGAAAATGTTTTAATTAACCACTTAACTAGTGGTTTGCATAGATTCATTTTGAGATTAGATTAATTTCACTGTAATCTTGGAATGAATCTAATAATCTCTTAATTCGGCCAAAGAAATTCATGATATGTGTGTGCTACCTAAATAATAACTAAAAGTAAGTCTTTGAACAAGTTTCTTAAGCCAGATGGCTTGAAAAACATGTTGAACACATTTTCCCTGAAGCAAACCCGGCGTCTTTATAGTTTATAGTCTTTATAGTCAATTGTTTCTCTGCAGCACAGCGGCGCTTTCATTGATAAACTCAATCAGCTGATTTTTCTAACGGCCCGCTGGCTGCTTTCTCTGTTCCTCTGTGAGTGACCGCTTTTCTTCAAGTCACCAGTGAAGTTTTTCTACTTGTTACGACTACTCTTATAACCTAATAGGTTCCCAAAAAATAAAAAAAAATGCCAGAGTAGTTTTAGGAGGAGGTTTTCGACTCATTCAAAAATAAAAGGCACTCAGAGAGTTTTCTGGGTTCAGAAGGTGATTTTTTTTACTTATAAAAATAATAGAAATAATCTCCAGGTTGACTAACAAAAAAATTAAACATAAACGTTAATTTGTGGTAGAAAAACTGCTTCACTCCTCAGTCCTTCACCAAACAATCAGAGCAACCATAGCAGCTGCTTCTGCTTGTTGATCACAGCAGAAAGTGGACTGACAAGGAGGAGGGTCAAATAGGATAAATGAAGAAATTACAACAAATCTACCATTCACAAAACCTTAGCTCTGTAACATTGATAATTTAGCAAAAAAGGAATTTATGTAATTTTTAAGAGGTTCCAACAGTACGCCACGTTCAATGTAGTAAATTCACAGTATGCCTAAACAGGTTCTTGCTCCCAGATAGACATCTGCACTAAAATATCAAGGTGAAAGTCATCATTAGTATAGACTTATCTCCCAACCAAACTATGAGAATAGATTAACTGCATTAATGGCCCACCACTCATCCTGAAAATTAATCAAAAGGATTATGTTAACAATGACTACAACTACAGAACTGGATAATACATAAAATAAACTATACAAAGATATCTGTTTTTCCTGAAAACACAATAATGACCAAAAAACAATGTCCTCTGCAGTTTATGGATTGGAGCGGGCAGAGATGCGGTCAAGATTGGAATTTTCAGAATTTTTCTACGGCCTTGACCTTTGACCAGACACCACAGGCTGACCTTTTTATTATTATATCAATGTATATAATACATAATACAATTATAACATGTTTTCTACAGAAAATGTATCTTGATACTGCACTAGATCAAAGGTTTCTCCCATTTTACTCTCCTATAAACAAACTGTTATTTCAAATAAAATGTATTTAAAAAAGCTTTAAAATGCTATTTTTGCCAAATATTTCCAAGAAAAAAATAAAAATAAAAAAAAATAAATAAAAATAAAAAAATATATATATATATATACTGTATTGTACAGTATAAATAAACAGGCTGTGAATGTATATATATATATATATATATATATATATATATATATATATATATATATATATATATATATATATATATATATATAACTTTCTTAACCCATGAGGGTTTGAGCTGTTGTCCTTTTATTAGTCTAAACAATTTGATGCTTAATGGATATAAGCATTCATTTTGACACCCTGTTATAAAGATGCACAACAATTGATCTTAGAAAAAGAGTGTACATTTAAATCTTGAGGAAATAAAATGATGATTTAACTAAAGTAATAA